CTTTACAAGGTATTACATTACGTCTAAAAGGTAAAAGCAAAAAGCAAAGCCAAACCAAATTGAACAACTTTTTTCTTCTTCTTCTTCTTTTCAACATTTCCACTCACTTTTACCTGAACTTTTCAACATTCTTGCCTTAAGGTACAAACCCAAATCATCATTAATAGTAACAAGTAATGATTCCCGATTATACATCTTGTATCCTTGACTAGAACCATTTTTAGATTTACATTCAAATTTACCTTTTTGTTTATTGCGCTCACCTTAGCCAATGTTAAAGTTGACTGACCATTGAATCTTCAATTTGGGAAGCTTTTACCTTCCTTCAAATTTCACCATCAAATTGAGATAATCATTTGTTTTCAGAGTTAAATTGAAGGATAAAGGTTTACCAGACATTAGCATTAAAAAATAAGTTGTTCAATTTTCTGGTTTGACCAAAAAATTGAATGAAAACCAGAAAAAAAAGAGACAAATCTCAACATTTGTTTATAACCTTTTAGACTAAATTGTTGTGGAAACCCAAATTTTTACATTTTAAATGTAAATCTTTATGGATGAAAAGGTTAATCATTGGAAGTATTTTTTTCACCCAAAATTTCATCTCACGTTGGAAGAGTAAATGTAAAAGATTAAAAAATGTGAATCTGGCAACACTTGGATTATCATTGAAATACACATTTACACAACAATAGTAACTGTTATCACAATCATCACCATAATAATCAAAACTCTAATCTGAATAATAGTCTCGGTACGTGATTGACATTGTCAACTAGAAAGGTTTGTTCAACGGTAAAACACTCGACTTGCCTTGAGGCCTTCAAAAGGAGTCAATGAGTGTTGATTAAAATTTGTGTGTGTTTTGAATGAAAGTGTGACTCTGATTCTGAAAAATTCTGATGAAGATTGAGCAAAAATTGACAAAAAAAGGGTAAACAAATTCCGTGTAATAATCGATAGAGTCATAACTAAAGCTACGTCAATAGGTAAATAATATTTATTCAGGGAATCGGGAGAATGATTTTTACTCAAATGTGGATAAAATTATATGAAATAATAATAATAATCTGGATAAAAAATAATAATAGTCTTGAAGGGAAGAAATGGGAAAATGTAAAGTTTACCTGATTTAATTTTATTATCAACTTTTGTTTTATTCAACAACAAAAAAAGGTTGAAACGATAAAACAAAAGTGAATAATAATAATAAAGTTTCAACTAGGAGTTTACTTGGGAGTTTTTTCATCAATATATGGTTATATTTATCGTTAGATTATTTTTACCTCCCAAAAGATTATCAATTTTTTATTAACTCATTCAGAATGGGAATGATAATTTTTGCCATTTTTTCAGGCAAAATATTTATATTGACTTTTCATCTTTTGGGTGAACAAAAATTCATTGTTATTCAGTTTGTTAGTAGTATATGAAAACCAGGGTTCACACCACCCTAACGCCACTTCCGTCTGTTGCCTTTGAGGAAGTGTCATTACGGTGGTGTCAACCCTGGTTTCATCGTAAAAAAAAAATAATCAAGAACAACGGTGTTAAACTTTTGTACATTGATAATTTGCAAGCGTGATAGAAGGGGCACTTCCTATGATACTGGGTCTTAAAAATAGTAATAAACATGCAAATGATTAAAAAAGGGGCTGTAATTTATTAATTAAAAATTAACTAATTAACATGGTAACATACATTGACATATGTCATTATCCAATCAACATCTTATCTAGCTTGAATTTTTCTCTATTAGATGAAGATGTAATGAGAGTACATAGATTCAACAAATGGATGATTTGCACTTTGATGAAATGCAATAAGCAGCTTAAGTAATTTTTTATACATTGTAGCTTAATATCAATTATGTCTAGCTAACAATTATGATTTAAACATAGATAAGCTAGAATGATTAACCGTGAGAAAGTTTGAATTCATAATAAGTAACATCAATATTCATTTGATCATCTTTATTGGTTATACATGTGTAAGATACAATTTGTAATAGAGATTAAATTACAGTCAAATTTGACATAGTATTACTCAAATTACTGTTGTTTAGAATAAAATAATTATAGTATATCATCAAAAAGAGTCCAACAAATAGCAAAAAGCATGATATTAGAGGACAATGAGAAGCGACTATCACCAACATTATGAGTAATGACACAAACACAATAACTAAGCGACTTTCAAGGAAAATAAAGTTTTATATAGTGAAGTGATATCAATGATTTTGATTGTGTTTCTTATACGCATGAGCGAACATAAAAGTTTTCTACATAAAACCAGTTCACATGAAAAAGTGCAATCATTCAGTCATTTACCCAGCTTATTGCAACAAAAATGCCTTATCGATGTGGAAATTGTGTCTTTACAGCTGATTCAATGATTGATTATATCAATCATGTATGTGCTTCAACAAGTCATAATGAACAACAAAGTTATTCAAATCAAAGTCAACAAATATTGTGTTTCAACTGTGATTTTTCAACATTAGATGCTGAAGAGTATCTGGCACATTCATGTGAAACTATTCCATTCTCTCCTTGTGTTAATGAGTGTGTAATCTGTGCACCGGTTGATCCAATTGTTGTTGAAGAGTATTTGACACATTTGAGTGAAGCTACTCCGTCATCTCCTTGTTCAATAGTTGACCCAATTGTTCCATCACAAGCTGAAGAACAAACTTTAACACAAACTTCTTCATCTTCACCCGGTAATGTAATTAAAAAGGATTCACACTCAACAAAAGGTACAAGTTTACTTCAAAAAGGGAAGAAAACTAAATATTCATGTGACAAATGTAAACGTATATTCTCTAGACGAAATGTATTTCAAGAACACATTAAAGTTTGTGGTGTTCCGTGTGTGCCAATTGAAAAAACTTTTAATAGGATCGAAGGATTAAATTGTATTCAAAGTGCAATGCACAATAAACTTACTGAATATACAATTGAAAAACCAACTGCAAATGATCTGGACAAGTTGCAACAAGACATTCAATCTAGTGTATTCTACTTGTTAAAAACAATCCTTGACTCTCATCCTACCATCAAATTCAATTTAACTATTGAAATAAGTTTTGAAAAAGTGACCAGTGAAGGAGTTTGTTATTTGGAAAAAAGACCTTTCGTTTCTGTTATGAAGCAAATTTTACGAGGTGATGATCTACAAGAAAAAATTAGTTCTACATTTGATGAATTGAAAGAAACAGTTGCACAATACACTGAAAGAGGTAGTGGTTGGACAATCATTTCAATTGATAGAGTCATCATTCATTTAGGACGTTTCAAAGCACATACAGGTGGTTGCTCAGATAAAAAATTACCACAAGCAATTGTTAATAAAAGATGTCTTTTGAGGATGGAGGTCACCAGTGATTGTTTCATGTACTCTGTTTTAGCTGTATTACATCCAAAAAGCAGCGATAGTCACCCTAACCGTCGCAGACATTATGAACCTTACATCAATTTATATGACTTCTCTGATGTGAGAGGCAACGTCTCATTGGATCTAATCAGTAAATTTGAAAAGAAAAATAATTTAGCTGTCAATGTATATACTTATGATATTGATGAATCTTATGTTATTCCATTGAAAATCAACAAACAACGAAATCAAAATACATTAATTCACATTAAATCCAATGATGCATCAAACAACACAGGCTTGAAACAAAGAATCAAATTAGGTCATCATTTCAATCAAAGCAGTCATTCGTTGCCGAAGTTCTACACTCCAATAGGGCCGATTTTCCTCCAATTCACCAATTAGTTGTCGCAACTCTGCAACTCCTCTAACCCTGGTTCGATTTGCCTCACGCATTGCCAAAAACTCCTTAAATACATGGATGATGTGGTCGGCTTCATGTAAGTTGAAAGGATGACCTTGTCCACAAAAATATATCATTGCTCGAACTTTGGGTAATAAAGGTCGTTTTTTAAACATGTCACCACTTTAGAGAGAAGCAAATGAATAAAAGATTAACAAAAATTAGTATTAGCTAATATTATTCAACTATTTACATTACCTGTAGATCATATCAGGCATAGTTAAGCTAAACTCAGATGAGCACAACAAAAAATTGAATTAAAAAGTTTGTTTAACTTTAAAGTTAACTATTGCTTGAGTTGACTTGAAATGAATGATAAGTTAGTTACTTTTACTTTGGTTAACTTTGTTTCAATACTTTCACTCCTTCATATTGAAGAAAAACAATTCTAGGAAATGAACAAAAGGTTTGAATTTCAATCATGAAAAAATTGATGCAAGCAGAAGCTTTAAAATGCATCAAAACAATTCCTAGAAAACATTAAATGAGATGACTTCACTTTAAAAAATCAATTAACCAACAAGTAGCAGATCAATTATATTTACAAAGAATAACATCATTATCATCAGGCTATTAACCCACCAATAACTCTGCATAAGTTTTAAATTTCAGCTATTTCAATCAGCAACAAAAAGAGCAATTTGATTCTTTGCAATTACTAATTTTTCAGATAAAACCAGGGTTAACACCACCATAATGACGCTTCCTCAAAGGCAACAGACGGAAGTGGCGTTAGGGTGGTGTGAACCCTGGTTTTTATATACTACTTTTGTTTTTGATAAATTTTCAAAGCTTGATGGGTTTATTATGGATTAGACTGTGAAATTGTCTTTAATTGTACACTTTAGATTGCCATTGAAATTGTAATTTTTGTTTTATTTAATTTCTGTAAAATTAATTCCAAAGCTTTATTGACTATTTCAATTTGGGTTTTTTAGGTTTAAGCTGGTAACTGTTTGAACTTGCCATTTTTATTATGATGGGGAAAACAAGAATATTTTTTGGTTGTTGAGTGTAAAATAATGTTCATTTTGAATGTTAATTTGGCAATTAAATTTTTGTTTCACTTTTTTGTCTCTGTTTTCAAACAAATTTATTGCATTTTTAATCATCAATTGCTAATTGAAGACAATTTTACTCACTTTTCAGGTTACAGAGCTTAATTAAAATACTGTCCCTTAAACTTTCCCTCCAATTTGCAACATGTCTGACATGAGAGTTGACTTTTGTGTTTATCTTAGTTTTTTTATTTAATCAACTCTAATTAGTCGAGTCTTGATTATTTTTACTCCCTTTTTCAAACTAAATGTACCTTTAGTTGCTCACCTATTATCATAATTTAATTTGTGTACTCATCAATCAATGTTTTACCGTTAAATTATTTTATAACCAAATGGTTTACACTGGAGACATGCTTTGATACTGGTATTTACGTCAATCTTGAAACGTCTGCTGGTTAAACGGTAAATTGAATTTATTATGAATATTACAAATTTCTTACTTCTCGTCTTTCAATATTCCTGATTAAGGTGATGTTCATCTCGAATAAGTCTAAACAAATCCTGGTTGGTCAAAGTTATAACCTGTTTTACTCACAAAACTTGCCATGGACCTGCGACGCTGCTATGCATAGTGTTGGTTAATTACAGTCATGATTGGGAATATAATTGATATGGTTGCTGGTAAACAAATGTTAATCTCAAGGAATCATGTATCTCAAGAAATTAAGGGCTGACTAGCTTTTATCTTGAGTATTACAATCCCTTCTTTTATTACACCTTTAAACATTTAATTTGTTTTAATACATGCTCAGCTTGACCTGGATTTTCACATAATTTTGGTTCACTCGATCAATAACCAAGTCGTTTTATAATTACAATTAGTATGCTTATTTGTGGACTAAAGTCAAGAGATTCAAGAAATCACTTCAAGACTTGCGCCTTTCCATCCAACCTGTTTTACATACTCAGCTTGAACTGGACCTCTCACCTAATCATACATTATCGGAGACTATTCGATTAACTGACCAAACAATTGTTTCTTGCCAATGGGTTAATTCAATATTTATTCCTGCTCAAGAAGTCAAGCATGATAGCAATGAAATCAAAAGGAATCAAAGACTTGATTTACTCAACACGATATTGTAACCAATTTCCATACAACTTCTTATTCAACTCTTGCTCCAAATCTGCGGACCATGGTGATGTGCGATCGTCCGATTAATCAACCAAACATATTACCTTTGGATGTGGAAATGAGGTGTCCACCAACGATAATCAACATTTGCTTCCAAAACGATTCTTCTATTCTAATTTTCATGGTTCTCTGTTAATGTCTCACTCTGGGTTTCAATTTAATTTGGCATGTTTGTTTCGCTGATTGTTATTTGCCTCTCTCTGTTATCTTATTTATGAAATAATATTTACTTTATGTGTTTTTTTTCATTTGGCTCAATAGTAACAACAACAACAAGCAAACAAGTCTAAAAAGAAGAAAAAATAAATTACTAACCAGACAAAAAAGAGGTAAAAGTTAAAGGTAACCAAAGGTAATTTAAACTGTTGTATACCTAAAAGAGAGTTAATCAAGGTTTTCCTTTTTTTCACTGAATAACATGTTTAGTTATTTATTTATTTATTTATCTATTTATCACATGTATATTAAAGGTAGAGTGAAAAAAAAGACTCAGCTAAGTAGGTAAAAATATTGTAGGTAAATAAGAAAGCATTGAGAATGATGAAAATGAATTTCTCTAAATAATGGAATTCTCATAATAATCATTTTTATTGTATTTATATTGTTTCCCTATCTGGCCAAGAGACAAGTGATGATATCTAATGTTGACTATGATTACACACTGAACATTGATCAAACTCATTTCAAGTTAAGAGTAAAATTGGAACCGAAAAAGGTTCAAGTTGAGATTAAAGTTGACAGATTATTTGTTCAACTTGAAATTATATTATTTCACCTTATCAACAATTGTACATATTATTGGAAATATTATCACCAAAGAAATGTGATATTAAATCTTTCCCTCAACTCAACAAAAAAATACAAACACAACAATTGTAAAATGTTTTGAAATTGTCAATTTTTTCATTCCTTTTTGTTTGTAAATTGAACAAAATTCAATGTTCAATCGAATCTAATTTAAAGTCATTTTTCTTGCTTTTCATCCAAGTAATTCAATTGATTTACAGTCCAATGATAATCATCTAAATTGGTCAAACATTGACGTACTAATCTGATGCAATTTTCAACATTTCATGAAACAGTCCTGCAAGTCAGCATAAAATGATGGACTCAAAATGGTCAAACCAAAAAGTAAATCTTTTTGTCATTTCCTCAACTGACCAATGATGTCAAACAAATTAACATTGCAAGAGCAAATACGATCAAAATCCTTAAATTGCTGCATTCATTTACTTAATCAATCCATCACAATATATTGTCGTTAGATCAATGATTTTAAGCATTTTTACACCTTTTGCTTACTTTTCAATTTTGTCTTATATTTTGTGAAAAGTGAAAAATAAATCAATATTTTAATATTTTGAGGGCAAGAAAGTCATGATAGAGTTGAAAGTTGGCTACAATTTTGATGGATGAGATTAAAAAACGTTTTACAAACAATTCCAGATTGATTATCAATCCTATTAATCTGATTATTTTGCACTGAGATTGAACGAGTAAAAAGCAAAATCAATTACTTTGATTGTCAGGCCTTTTATTTTTCCAATAACATTTCATATTTATTGAGTGTAAATTTTGCTCCTCTTCAATCCACTCTTGTTCACTTGAGATGTTTAATTTGCATTTATGTCACTTAGTTTCTTCAATCCAATGATAACTTTGATTATCAAGTTGAATGGTCAGATAAATGTGGTGAAAATGATACACCAAGAATACATCATGTTATGTAAATAAAAGTTGAAAACATGGCTCTTCATCACAATCTGTGAATTGACATTTTCTGACCAAAGATTGACTTTGGTTAAACCTTTTCAAAAATCAAGACAACTCTTGTAATAAGTCAATTTATAACTCTTTACATGAATATTATGAAGTTGTAAGAGGCGAAATTAGGTGAGAAAAGAAAATAAGAATTCGTCAGTTCAATTGTTACGAGGAATTTTTGTTAAGAAATTGCTTTTCTCATTGAATGGTCAAAGCCTGTTATCAGAAATTTTGTTCAGCAACAAATGTTAACACAAAAATATCAACCTTTTTTAAAACATGTTTAGTGTGATGTACTGGTAAAGATGCTAAAAGTAAAGTTATCTCAGGATTGTTTGAAGGGAATTCAAGTCTCTTGGATGAATTACAACTCAGGAACAATTGATAATCGACTTTCAATTTCTTGATTTTTAGGGCAAAAAACTGTTACAGAAAATTGGTTTCAAAAAAATGGATTTCCCATGAGCTGGAGAAAGCAAAAAGCATTTTAATAACAATTTTAGCAACAAAAACATCATAATGTAAAAAGACAATTTGTAAATTACTGTTGATCATTGATTAGTCTTACTATCAAAATGAATAATTTTAAATGGGAAAAAATAATTTCGTTTCAGTCTTGATTGTAAAAGATATCATAATTAGTAGCAATGGAGTTGATTTACAGTTTGGTTGAGCATTTTGTTGAAAACCAATCTACACCTAAATACATATTCAAAGTCTCAAAAGATTAACTTGTCTATTAAACCCAAACCCAAATCTAACAAGATTTACTTGGTAAGAATAATCCAACTAATCTTGAAAATCTCGAAGCAGATTAACCCTGCAAGCTGACCAATACATTGAGATATTTTCAATTAATACCGAAAATCCTTTCAATTCAAACGAGTATTAGTGTTAACCAAAAAAAGTAGAGACAATGTTTAACCCAAATTATCACCAAAGCAATTCATTAAACACTTGAAAACGCTTTGTTTCTCATTTGTAACCAGTTATTGTTGAAACCCAAAAGTGAAACACAACCAGTTTTGATATAAATTATCAGCAGATAAAAGTAAACTTTAAACAATACAAAAATATCTATTATCCATCAAGCTTGGCCTCAAGATGACTATTTATCTGATAACATTTGACCATCAATCTTATTTTTATCCTTACATTTTCCATAATTTTCTTCTTCTCTCATCCATTTGTCTTTCTTACTGATCCTTTGATGATCCAACATGAATAAATAAATGATAACTCAGGCAGGTTTAAACGGTACAGAAGATGGGAACTTATGCCACAGAATCTCATTGAACTTACCAATGGATAAATGATAAGGGAAAAGGAAACGAGGTAAAAACGAGGTAAAAGCTCATCTTTATCTTTCAATCTGATATTTGATTGTTTCTTTCAGATTGTTACCTTAATCCAAACTCTGAACAAGAGAGGAAAAAGTGAACATTCAGATGAAACTATCATCATCAACATAATCATGATGACCATCATCATTTGGGCCCATCATTATCTTCAACTGTTATTACTGGTCAAATCATTTGAAATGTTGATCAGATTACAGTTTTTGTCTTTCCCTTTACAGCTGCTAATCTCTTACCTTTTTTCAACTGTTCATTATCATTTGAACAAAAACACAAAATGAATTATATTCTGTTTTGTATCATGTAATATTCAATTGAACTGCTCTGTTTCCCGAATTATCATTTTATCCTTTACTTTCCATTAACATTACTCTTCTCTCTCTCTCTTCGTTTTGTTTGATATTTTTGTCCTTTTTTTCTTCCTTTTCATCATCTTCTTCTTTTCATCTTCAATTTGAAACAAATATAATGCATGATAAAGAACCATGAAAATTGTTCTGCTTCATTCCTTCAGCCATATACATATTCAATAGTTAGTGATAAAGGTTGATATTTAATGGATTGTAAGAAATGACAAGTTGAGAAGTGTTTGTTAAACTAACTTGCCTTGCAACTGAACCAATTGATTGTTCATTTAGATGGCTAATTGTTTGATTTCAAGTTAATATTTGACGAGGCAAAAACCCGATTCTCTATTCACCATTTAACCATTTTAAAGGCCTATTTTTGAAACATTGAAGAAGCAATAACATCTCTATTTTTTGACAACATTTTTGTGGTTCCTTTTTTCCTGTGTTACATTATTAAAACTAGAGTTCATCATTTGCTGAAATAACTTCATTTCTCATTGTTCTTGGACTGGTTTATTTCACTTTGAATATACTCTTAGATATCATCTTCAATTCAACTTGAGTCTTTATTCATCTCAACATTCTCCTTGTTCTTGACAGGACATTGTCTGGCATTGTATTTGGTTATGTTTTTTGTTCATTTTAAAAATGATTTAATCAAGTTTTTTCATCCAAAATCAACATTCCCATCTTGTAGCTCATTTCAAACTGACAATATTTTCACTTGCAATTGAAAATACTTTTTAGTCTATCACAATTAAAGTATTGGTTCAAGTAATGGTTAAATTGTTTAAATTGAACAGTGATATTAATGATAAAATTGAGTTGGAAAATTTAATTGAACGGTTGAAATGTTGAAAGGATAATTAGTATATTTTCCCTCAAGTTTGAATATCAAGTAACGGCTTACTTAAATGATTGACTGTTACTTTTAGTCAACGGTTTTTTTTGTTTTTGGTTTAGTTTGGTGTTTTAATCAACTCTAATTGATTGTAAACCTTTTTTGAAGTTTTACTTTTACCTGTTTTGCAAATTCAATTCATCACTAGTTATGTTCAAACTTTTGATTAGTGTCAATCAAGTCGTGTTTAGACTTGCTTCTAACCAGCATTACCTTATGTGTGCTCAAAGGTCTCTTTGGGTGAAGCAACTCTTGACTCTTCAATCAATTTGGTGTGGAAAGTTTGTCGTTTCAAGTAGGAGTGTAACTCTGATTGATTAAGTAAACTCTAAAGACTGATTACCTTGATTTTTTTATCAACCAAATGGCTAGTTTTAAAGATTGGTATAGCTGGAAAGGTAAGACATAGACACACATATAGAAAAGGCTAGTATTTAATGACATTTTTTCTCTTTATTTTTACATTACAGGTGAAACCTCTTACTCGATCAATTAATGGCCAAAATATATAAATTAAGCTGATTAACTCAACAGGAATCTATAGTTTTGAACCTGAGTTTAACCTGCTTTTCTCCTCAAGTAATGGTTATTATATGGTTTAAAAGTGAACAATTGAAATGTATCTTTTACCTTTCTACTGAATTATGTTCACTAACATCCACAATTCCCTCAAGAAGTTTCATATTTTTATCTTCATCTTCACAAGTTGGAACATTATGATGCTCTTTGATGATTAATTTTACCTTGGAAACAAACTTATAAAAAGATCATGAGCAAAGGCTTACCTCTTCATCTATCTTATCATCATCATCACCATTCTCATCTTTAACGTTGTCTTCATTCTTATTCTTATTCTCATCATTTCTAGCTTTTCTTCTGTTAGCAAGTATAATGATAATGATGATAACAATACTTATATGATGATTGAATAACGATGAAAGGTATTTTTACTCAGTGATTGTCAATGAAAACTATGTTTTTAATGATACACTTACTTGGATGCAGGTAAAGGAGAACAAAATTCTTTCACTTTTGTTCCATATCTAACGATAAAATATTTCTTCTCCTCTTTTCTCAGATCCTTCTTATTCTTCCATTGGCCGGATAAAGACATCTTCGTCTTTCAACCAACTTTAAGGATTGGACGTAACAAGCATGGGAATTAAAGTATTAATGATAACATTTTTTTCACTTAGACACCAACAACCATTAAATGGATGTTTATCTTAAAGCTTGTCCATCTTCATTTTCTTCATGGTATCAAGTGCTAAGACTGAATCAATCATCTGGCAGACATTTTGTTTTGAAGCCCACGGCAGTTGAAGCTAAACATTTTGAATTGCCCTACAACTGTGGTTAAAGCCAATGATCTATCAAATTGCTCCACGATAATTATGGAAAATGATTTGTATTGGCAGAAAATTCAACTTCAATCTATTAATCTGACTGTTACCCGGATCCCTTCAACAAAGGTTGCTCATTGTATGCCTTATGAAGCCATTACCAGGACAATTGGTAATCAATTAACCAAATAATTAGAGAAAGCAAACTGAAAGCCGGCATAATTAATTTTTACTCTTTTGCTCAGCTTGAATCAGAATTTTGAGGTTGACTAAACAATGATTAGTTAAATGGTCCATGTATCTTGAATCATTTAACTTGATTAACTTGATAAGATTGAATAAAAATTTTGATTTCATCTCAATACTCACAACAACGACAACAATTTATTAGCATGAGTTAGCCTTGTACTACATGAGAATGTAAAAATGGGTAGCAAATCAATTTGTAGGCTTCAAGTTTTTTCTTAATTAAGTTACTTAATTATTGTAACCAACGCAAACTGAAGATGATGATTAGGCGAGTGAACAAGGGACAATACAATGAAAACTCATTATAGATAGTAAAGTTAATTAAAGTGAAAAGATGACAAACTTAAAGAGAAGAGATGAAGAAAAATATTAACAATACAAATTAACCCTGTTAATGAGTAGTTGGCATATTCATTCAGTTGGATATTTGTGTTGCTATGAACCACTGATATATTCAGTATACACAAAACTTGTATGATATGTACAACAATGCAGTCGTAATGGTTAGAATAACAATTTACATTGTCTTTGGTAAAATGATTTACTATTCCTAAATATAATTAAACTGAATTAGTTAAAATGGATAGAGTAAAATGCTATTAAAAATGAATACTCAATGTCTAGTTGAAGTTTGTTCAAACAAAAACAAATGAAGATTCGCCTTTTTTTGCTGGCAAATTATTTACTAAAAAATAGACTTTATTTTCGTGTAAATTGCATTGTTGTTTAAACTTTTACAGTATAAAAGGTTAATAAATAGACTAGATTGAATTGATTGTTTTCATTAATGAACCTGATTAAAGGACTTGATAAGGCTATTGTTTGAGGATTTCAACCATCAAGATTATCAAGTATTATACATTAAAGCTCTTGACTTTTGTATATCATTATATGTAAATTTATATTAATAGAAAGATTTTTATTGTATTATTATTGTATTGTATTTTGTTGGTAAAAATAGATTGGATAACAATATTATAACAATAATAATGGCAAGTAATCTTGTCAATGTGTTTTTGGGTGAACCAAAAATTTACTCCAAAATAATCTAATATTGCCATGAGGAATTAAAAATAGATAAGTCTAATTAAAATGAGCATAAATTAATTTTCAACCCCTTTCAATAGCAAAATTCACAATTTGACTTTTCATAACCGTCTATTAACCTTATGAGATCCTTAATTTACAAGTCAATTAGTGGTTAACCCTTATTTACAGATTATTATTAACTTAAAAAATTGTGAAAATATTTCTCTTCATTCTTCATCTTCTTCATGTTATGTTTCTCCCATTATTTCATCCTGTTCGTCTTCGTTCTCGTCCTTTTCTGCCTTCCTTTGCTTCTTCTTGAAGATTCTGAAGAATCTCTCTTGACTTTAACAGGTTAAACCATCAACTTTATCGATTTTCCAGTAACATTCATTTGAAATGATTTATCTTCCTTCTCTATCTTTCCTTTTGCTATACCTATTCCCATTTTACGGTTAAAGTTAAAATTTAACTTATTTACATATCAGATATTATTTACATTATTTCAACTTTAATTAACTGTTCAGGGTATAAGGTCATGCTAGAATTGAAAAGGGCAGACCACATTCAATCTCAAGTCAGACGTAATTGAAAATTGTTCGCTAAATATTATTCTTTTCAATTCTTTCTTTCTTTGGAGTATCATGACAAGTTCTGGTTCCTTGGTAGATTGTAATTTTCACCTTGCTTCTCCAAGATTTATCTCTGCCTTTTTTATTGACAGTTAGACAATGCCAAGTTGAGCCTCAAATCCTTTAGATAGCTTGTAGTAATAAACGTTAATATCTTTGTTTCTTGCGTTTCCCTTCATTTCTTGCTTTCCTCCCCAGGCCGGGCCATTTCATCTTCATATTAATCTATAAAGGTCAAATTTTGGGGCATCTTTCCTGATCTTAGCTTTGCAATGAGTAATGGAGTCTTATATAAAAAATGGTCAAGCTTCGAGAGACCACGAATGATACTCTTTACAAGAATGTTGAAGAATAACTGTTCCTGGTCAATTTCTTTAGAGCTCTCATCATTTTTATCTGAAGCATCATAACAGTCTCGTCTTCCAATTTGTATCAATCTTTTCCTTTGCTTTCAATTTTCTTGAAGTGATTCGGTTTCAAAAAATTTCTGCTCTTTGGCTTTTGCTTTGGGAGAAAGGTCCCAATTAGAAAGCTAACTGGACCCAAGGAATATTCCATAGTCAAATTGCTATAAAATTATCTTAAGCTCTGCTTCAATAACTTTTCTTCAATTTGCCTTAAACTTTTCCTTATCAGCTCTTAAAACATCTTCCATGTAAGTTGTTGTGTACAGTTGCTGTTTACAATTTTACAGAAGTGGTTGAATCAAATTTACATCTAATTGACATTAAATATCCCTGCAAGAAGAGAAGAGGAGAAAATTAGGAAATTAGGAAATTAAAAGTTAAAAAATAAAAACAATTGATGATGAATCAGACTAAAGCAATTAAGAATGGTATCATCTGTATCATCTGTTCATTATAGAAGTCAAGTAAAAGTGATAAAGAGCTTACCGTTTGTTTATGTCTGTCTGAGCTTGTTCCAAAAATTTTAGAGTAAGAATTAGATGAGTTATCAGAATAAATGTACACTAATGAGTAAAACAACACAGGGATAAATTATCTTACAGGATGGAATCCATTCAATGGACCCCAATCAAGCCTTCAATCTCCATGGATTTTTTAAAATAATCATGCGTGATTACGAGTTGACCCAAGTGAAACAAGTGTTTGAATAAAACGACAGGAAACATTTGTCTTTACAGTACTTTAGAGGTATCGTTACGGTAATTGTTTTCAAGAGGTCCACACATGTTTTATCAAAAGACAAACAAGTGATGTAACAAGACTGCTCCATAAGAGTGGATTAGGTTAGCAAAATGGCGCAACAAGTTTCTCAAGGATTAATTATTTTTCTCCTTCATAATCAAGACTGGATTGTTTCCAAGGATTCACCTTCGCGTGTATTATATAATTGATTTTTACTCACGAATAGATACCAGTTAAGCTCTAGATACTTCTAGATACTAGAGTTTTTTCGCCTGTGATCATCATTTTAAAAGCCGCCATTCATTTTTGAAAGTTTCCTTGTTATAAATATGCTTCTTCACTTTGTTGTCTGTTTGCGTTCAATTGGTTGTACCTATTAAAGATCTGCTTTTTTCTGAATGATTCTCAAATAAGTTATCCTTACAAAGAGAATCAACATATTCCTATAAACAGCGAATTCAGGTGTAAGGCGATGACGAATATGGCGAAACTAAACAATTCATTGAAATATTTGTTACTCAAGCCAAAACAAATAAACAGTTTGTTTACAGCAAATTTATCATCATTTAAGCTTCCAGAAATCAACTTTAATCCTAAAAATTATAAAGTAAGCAACTATTTTCCAAATCCAGGTGAAACTAATCTTGTGACAATTGAATCATCTCGACAAGATAACTTCAGTCTTAAGACCTTAATAATTTCTCTCCTTGGTTTCTGAATAGACTTTAGACCTAGATAAAATAAGAACAATCCAAGGAAAACATTTGAGCCCGTGCTTGAATTATCTCTATCAAAATCCACCCATTCTGGTTCAAGGTAAAAGACAATATGTTTGGGATCAAAAGGGTCGTCAATATCTGGATATGTTTGGTGGAATTGTAACCACAAGTGTTGGCCATTGTCATGATAGATTGGTAACTGCAATAACAGAACAAGCAAACAAGTTATGGCATACAAGTTCATTATATCTTTACGATGAGATTCACAAATACGTGTCCGAATTGGTAACCAAATTTCCATCGCCATTGAACAATGTTTTCCTCTGTAATTCGGGATCTGAAGCGAATGAGTTTGCTGTTCTATTGGCTCGTCTCTATACAGGATCGCATGAAATGATTTCTTTGAGAAACTGTTATCACGGCTGTTCACCAAATACCATGGCTTTGGGTGGTATCGGTACATGGAAATATCCTATTCCACTCATGCCAGGTGTCCAACATACAACCTGTCCAGATCCTTACCGAGGTCGTTTTGGTGGATCAAAATGTCGAGATTCGCTGGTCCAAACAAATCGTACTTGTGATTGTTCATCTGGTAAATGTCAAGCCTCAGAAATGTATCTCCAAGATTTGGATGAAGTATTAGCAACCGCGGTTCCCAAAGGTGGAGTTGCTGGCTTCATAATTGAATCAATCACCGGTGTTGGTGGTTTTGTCCAGTTTCCATTTGATTATGTAAAGAAGGCTTATTCGAAAATCAAACAGCATGGAGGCTTGTTCATCAGTGATGAGGTAAAGTGATGATAACAACAAAAAATAGGCCTATTGTAAACACGTTTCTTCATTTACAAAACAAGGTGCAAACAGGATTTGGCAGAACGGGGTCACATTATTGGGGCTTTGAAGCCCATGGAATTGTTCCAGATATTGGTTGGTTGAGGATTTTATTTACTTTTTTTAAAATATGTGTCATGAATTTGATCCATTATTCAATTCTTTCCGTGTCGGCCTATAGTAACCATGGCTAAAGGGATAGGAAACGGTTTTCCATTGGCAGCAGTTGTTACAAGCCAGGAAATAGCACAGTCAATTAAAAAGGCCCTGTTTTTCAACACTTTCGGAGGTAATCCGTTGGCATGTAGAGTTGGCTCTGAAATTATTAGCATAATTGATGATGAAAACCTGCAAGAAAACAGTAAAATACAGGGTGAAAAATTAATCAAAGGGCTGGCACTTCTTCGAGATAAATACCCAAACGTGATTGGAGATGTTCGTGGTAAAGGACTTATGATAGGAGTTGAACTGATAAAAAACAAGGTTAGGCTTACATTTACATTCACATGAAAATTAATCATAGTTTAAAATTTCCATATTGTTACTTTTAGGACACTAAGGAACCAATATCTGGAAAAGGGTTTGCACAAATACTGGAAGACTTTAAGGATAATGGAGTTTTGGTTGGTAAAGGAGGTCCTTTAGCAAATGTAATACGTTTAACACCTCCGATGTGTTTGTCCTCTGAAGATATTGATGTTGCATTACAGGTTTCTGATCATGTTTTTGCCAATTATAAACATCTAGACTAAAAAATATTCAGCTTTGCTAAAAGATTATTCAATTAATATGAAACAATATTTTTCAAGAAACATTACTTTTTAATAAAAGATTATTTCATTCGCGTGAAATTTTTTAGACCGATTTGTTAAATGCATCATCTTTGTTTCTTTGAGACATTCAAGAATTAATTTTATATCTTAGTAACAAGTTATGATAAAAGTGAAAAAAGTAGCGTAAGAGAAAGAGAGAAATGAAGAAATAGAAACAATTTAACTATGGTTAACCATTTTTATGTTTGTAGCCAAGGATTGTTATTAAAACACATTATTTTCAAAGATTGATTCGATACTTTTTTTTGTTAACTTCGGTGGAAAGAGTCCGTTATTCAGTTTTGTTTTCACTTCGATGAAAACAAATTGTCACAATCATTGTCTACACACAGAATCGATTGAAGAGTCGATGAGCATAAAAGGGGAGAGAGAGCAAGGAAACAGTTACAATAGGAAAGGAGGAATTTGGAAATTCGCTTTGAATAACGCAAATGAAATCAGATTTACATAGATGGAGTATATATTCCTGTTTTGTTTACGTACAATTTATCTTAATTTTATAAATATTAAGTTTTTCTTACAATTACTAGTTAAGAAGTGAAAGTGAGACTGAGAAAAAATTTTATCCAAGATGAACCTTTACAGATTTAATCTTGTATTGGTGGAATATATATACGTCATAATCTATGTAACTCTGATTGTTGAGTTAATGTTTCCAATGTTTCAAGATAATCAGCATGAGCCGGAAAGAGATAGAGATAGAAATAGGAGACAAAAATCAGAGTTGACCAATTAAAAACATTCGTGTCACTTCACAATGCCAAACACAATGACAATCCAGTTCGCTCGAATTCAATGCCAATTCAGAGTTCAAAAGTTAAATCCAGAATCAGGAAGTTTAGTGTTACTAAATTCAAATCCAGTACCATCATTGGTAGCTGGTAAGAGCGAAGCATCTTCGTCATTGTCATCTGAGAAGAATGTATCAATTATTTCATAGGAAAGCTTATAAATATCAGAATTATCGTGGTTCTGTAATATTTCAATTTTATCGAGACCACCACATTTTTCTATCTCTGCGGCGATTGGGTAAAAGTTTTTACCCGCCATTTTCAGTATATTCATTAGTCCATCCAAGACCACTTGAAGTACTTGAACATCTTTGACTTGTAGTAATTCACACATTGGTCCGATAACATCTTGAGAAACAAGGTATTCAATTTGACCTTTGTTTCCACTAATAGTCATATTGGTAATGGCCCATGCAGCTTCACGTTGAGTTTGGAAATCACCCCGAGCTAAATGACGAATAATTCCAGGTATTAGATTGGCATCAATGATCGCTTGAATTTGTTGTTGGTTACCAGCAGTGACATTGGATAAAAACCAGACAGCCTCTTTGTTGATTTTTTCTTTAGGATGTTCAAGGAGAGCAGGGAAATAACTGAGTGCTTTACAATTCAGAACAACCTGAGTTTGTTCATCAGTTCCTGTAACTATATTACCAACAGCACGAAGAGCCGCTGTTTGAACTTTAACTTCTTTATGACACAAAAGTGGTACAAGACTGGTAACAATTCCACTATCGATAACTAATTGAATCTGTTCATTACCACCGTCAGTTAAATAGGACAAGGCCCATACAGTATCAACCAAAATAGTGATGTCTTTATTATGAATCAGATAGGCTAATGCAGGAAGAAGCTCCTGAATGGTTTCTATTGGAGGTGGTGGGTCTTTATTTCGGCAAAGGTTAACAATTACCCAGGTAACATTACGCAGAAAGGAAAGCGCCATATCAGGTTCAATGAGGGATAATAGAGGTTTAACAACACCCAGTTTGATACAATAGTCCCGAAGTTTAGGCCCATCTCCGATAATATTACCCAAAGCCCAGACTGCCTGCTCACAAACATTATCACTAGATGAATGAAGGAGTTCCAAGAATATGGGTACCGCACCTGATTGAACAACAGCCAGTGTTTGTTCAGAGGTACCACTGGCTATATTGGTTAATGCCCAAGCTGCTTCAAATTGTAAAGAGGATTCTTGCTGTTTTAAACATTCAACTAAGATGGGTAATATTCCAGATTTTATCAGTTCATCTATGGGCGGGTTTTTATCACTTGAAAGTAATTTACGAGCCGCTCGCACAGCATTAAGTCTTGTATCTGGTTCAGCACTAGCAGCACTTAGAACAATCTCCTGTAAACTATTAAATGACGATCTCCACTGTTCATCATCAGCGTCCAAAGAAGCATCCGTAATAGGAACATTACGTCTCTTAAGAATTGATTCTTCACGCTTGTTTTTTCTCAATTCAACCGTTTGTTCATTTCTTCGACGTCTCATCTCATCTGCGTCTTTACCACGATTCTTAAAATTATGGATACGCATTTTTCGACTGAAACCATCTGACGCCATAATGTAAATTGTTATAAAATTAATTTAACACTTCAAGAAAGGGATTCAAGTAACACAAAAGAAAAAATTGGTAGACAGTGTACTTTGTGAAATAGTTACTCTTCAATAGTATACAAAAAATACAAAAAAATGGTGCATAGTCTATCTTTTACATAACAGATGGAGCCATAAGATATCGGTTTAGCGAAAATGCAATTTTGAGTCTAAATTTTCAATAAAATTGCGAATTAATACTTTATTATTTAATTTCGTCTAATTGTGAGGCCAATTATTTCAAGTCCATTTCATATCTTCGATGTAAAGTCTTGTTGAGGGCGATAAGAGATAACCTCGCTTTAAATTTTTGACGTGGCTAATCTTTCGCCTTTGAAAAGCCTAGAGTTTGACTCATCTGAAGTGGCTTAAAAGTTTCATATTTTTACCCGCCATCGAGGGCTTATTTCTTAGTCATCAGGATTTATTTTAAACAATCAAGATTAAAGTGACTCATTGGCGCTTATCTTGTTTCAATGGTTGACCAGCTCATCGTTAATTTCGCTTGTAAATACAAATTGTTTACTCTTTGTTTTTATCGGCGCTTTAATTTCAATTTTTCAAGTGACTCGTTTATTTACATTGGCAATTGGGACTGCAAAACGATCTCGAGTTTTTAATTGTTGCTTCATCTCTGTTTTAATGATGGGATTGTTTTGATTTAGCTGATTTAAATAAAATAACGAGGTATAAGCACAAATTTTTTTATTGATTACTGCGATACGTAATACAAATCAGATAATTCTTATAGAAAAAAAGGAGAAAATCTAGTTTCAACATTTGTTAATGATAAGTTAAATCATACAAAAAAAATCAAATTATTTCGTTTTCCTATATTAGTTTAAGTACAGTTTTATTGCATACCATTTTTTGATGCTTTAAGCTGTTATAATTGTTATAAGTTATAAAAAAATAATAATTGGCGATCAACGTGATTCTTTTCCAAATTGGTTTGATCAGTTACTCAAAGTATAATAATAGTCAAAAATTGAGAAAAAAAGCCAGAAAAATTTCAATAAAAAATTAATGATTTTCCAAAAAATATGAATTAAGCGCAATCAATTTGATTGATTGATTTTGATTCTGATTAACAGTTTGCATTAATTGCATTTTTTCAGTTGAAATGAATAATTTTACAATCATTACTATAACCTTAAGAGCTATCACTATTTTGATCACAATTTTTGAATCTCATTGTCAGACGCCTCATCCAACAGATTATTTCCACCCAAATCACCTGAATATTGTTGGAGAAGGTTGAGATGCTGAGAATGTTGTTGAATAGCTTGTTGTAATAGCGTTGGTTGTTGCTGAGGTTGCTGAATCTGAGGCTGAGTCTGCGATTGAGGTTGAGACTGAGGCTGTGGTTGTGGCTGCTGCTGTTGCTGTTGTTGTTGCTGCTGCGGTTGAGGCTGCGGTGACGGCTGCGATTGTGACTGCGACTGCGACTGTGATTGAGGCTGCGGTGGCGGTTGTGGCTGCTGCTGCGGTTGGTGCTGTGGAGGCGGTTGAGACTGTGGTTGAGACTGCGGCTGTGGCTGCTGTTGTTGTTGTTGCTGCTGCGGTTGTGGCTGCTGTTGGTGTTGGTGGTGTTGGTGTTGCTGCTGTTGTTGAAGCTGCTGGTGCTGGTGTTGAAGTTGTTGGTGATGCGGGTGCAGCTGTATCGATTGGTGCTGCTGGTGCTGATGCTGTTGGTGTGGTTGATGCGGTAAGTATGGGTGTGATTGCTGGGATGCGTTTTTAGGCTTCCTTCGTCTAGTTTGAATCGTATCCTTCTTCATAGTTAATGGTCTAGGCACATTGTGTAATTTAAAATATAAACCACAAGCATTACACACAGATTCGCCTTTACTATTACATCTCCATAATGAAGTGACACTTGTACCACAGTTAGCGCATTTACGGCCAGTCCGATGACTTTTGCTCTACAATATAAAAATTCGAATAAGAAAATTAACGAGAAAAATTAAAATCATTAGAAATTCATTAATAATTACCGTAGGTCGTTTCTGTTTAACTTGATTTGGAGTTGGTTGTTGGTGTAAAGAACTTACAGCTTGTTTATTAAAGGTTACATTACAAGAAGCACAAAGATAATGTCCAGTTGCTGTACGACACCACACTAAAGTTTGTGTTGAACCACAGTTAACACATTCATGATCCTCTGAACCATCTATCGTTTCAAATTCTCCGTTGCTCACTTTGAGTCGTTTTGGTTCAGGACTTTGATGCTGAGATTGATGTTGAGGGTGTTGATATTGAATTTGTTGAAGTGTTTGGATAGGTTGAGGATGCTGTTGAAGAGCATAAATTGTCGGAGAGTGACCTTGATACTGGTTGTGTAGTGAGATGTATCTTCCATTATTCCCACTGGCGTGATGGTTTAAATTTATTAAATTATTGCCTTCTGGATGGGTTTCATTGTTAGCCCAAAATAAATTAGGATTATTCAACCAATCTCCGTAACAAACGAGTGGATTTATACTGGTAGTGTTAATTGTTGCAGGTTTATTCCAATAATTTTGTAATTGATGTTGATGTTGAATTTGTCCACTTTGACTTTGATAAATGCTGGTCGTCATCTTTATCCAAAAATGCTTTTACACTTGAATGAAAAATAAGAAAGACAAAAATATAAGATTAGAGGGACACACACCATAAGATATCAAGTATCAGAGTGAAGTCAGAAGAGATTCAAACACATTACCAACACATATAATTGAAACATAAGATAAGACTTACGACAAAGAATACTCATAGATTAATGGTGAAAAAGACACGAATAATTTTCTTCAAAACCTCCAAACATAATCACCAGCAATCATTTACAATATGTGAATTTATCAAACTCGGATGATAGTCAAAATGGCACTTAAAGACACAAAATTTGCGTACTCAATAATAATAAAAAAATTCGTGCAAGAAAAAAATTAGACAAAAAATAAAAGAACCAAAAAATTGAATGTATAAGTTTGTATAAAAAAAAGACAAAGATCACTAGTGAAAGACGAGAAAAAAATAAAGTAGAGTTCTAGTTATCACAAAGACGAAGTCATACTGATTGGAACAGTCAAAAATGAGCGAACATAGTAAGATAGTAGTTGTATACGATTAAGATTATAATTACTAACAATCAACATGGAGATGTGAACACATCCACTGACGATGGCAGCTATATCACAAAAGCAATAGATAGTCAAGTGTAGTCGAAAGAGGAAAAAGAGAGGGAGATAGTGAGACACTTTTAGAGCCAATCAAACTCGGTTATACATTTTTTTTCTTCTTTTATCTGTAAATGTTTTTGTTCTTCGTTTGTTTAATGATTAATAAGTTTAAAAATATGAGATTCATAGCAAAAAAAGAAGAAGAAATATTTTCAACTTTAACTCTATTCCTCAGGGCATGGTAAACAAACAAAAAGGAGTCACTACAGTATCTATTGCAGATAAGTAAGTAAAAAATTAAGATATCACCCTATTATCACAATTAAACTGTTTATATTCTCCTCTATGGTGATAATCACAGTCAACATTTCCTGTAAATCACATTTATACACATAGAAAAAGAGTAAAGAAGTAGACAAAAAAATGTCTTCTTTTTCTTCCAGTTTTTACTGTAATAATCAACATTTGATACATTCACTTGTAATTATGTTTGGTTATGTCTTGTTCAACTGATGTCTTTTTCACCACATTAATCTATGAACATTTCTTAGTCGTAAATCTTAATCTTTACGATTAGGTGTGCTGATTAGCTTGATATTTAAAGTCTCATGTGTTTTTTTTATATGTGCGTGGATGTGTTTGAGTTAGTATATGTGTGTGTGTGCGTCTATCTAATCAATTTTTGTCATTCGTATTATTGGTCAAGTAGGTAAATGCATTGTTAATGACAACACCAGTTTTTTGATAAACAGGTAACAGTTGGAGGTTGCAAGTCTTTACACTTTATTCAAGTTGAACAGAAACGACCGTAGTTTGTGGTTTGATTTAAATATAGTTTTTGTTTTATTTTTTGTTTGTTAAAATGTTCAAGTGTTAAACATTTTTTGTTACTCACCGTTAATCGTCTCTGATTTTTAACCAACGGTCTATTGTAACCATTCATCTTGTGAAAAAGTCCACATGCATTACAAAGATAGTGACCGGTTCCATCTCGTCTCCAGAGGGGCGTTTGAATGGCACCACAGTTGACACACTCTCGACCCTCGGAGGAAGGAAATTTATCGATGTCACTGAAACGTCTTCCAAAATCATTGCTCGTTATAACTGGATGATGTTGAAATTGATTAAAGATGGCGTACCCTTGATACGGATTAAGCGGAGCAGAGGCAAAAGAGACTGTCGCAGCAGCAGCCACAGCTGAAGCCGGAGTAACGGTGGTTGGATTGATAACAGATGAACCATCTCCATTGGTTCCATTGGAGGTTCCATCAGTTGCCTCGGTTGTGTAAAGTGGCATAAATTGATCCGAGAATGTCTCCATGAAAAGAAAGTACGATAACCACTGAGAAATTGAACTTTTTTATCTTTTCTTTTTTACAGATGAAGATGAGAAAAGCAAGCAAAAAAAAGCTTAAAGACAAATAAATCACCCAGAGATAGATAGAGATAGAGAAAAGAGAGGGAGAGAGAGAGAGAGAGAGGAAGATAACGAAAGATAGAGAGTGAGTTAGAGAGGTGACCAGGAGTTAGATACAATATCAGAGGGTTGTTAAGATCAATGATGGTGATGAAAATGATTATGCTGATGCTCATGTTGTTGGTGGTGATGAGAACGAAAGAGGGCAACAAGGGGTGTTAACAAGCTTACATCCCAGTCCATAACCATAGTAACTCGACAGAATTATCTGTCTTCCTCTTCATTTTTTCTTGTTCAATTATCTGTCTACCTTTTCTGTTTCCATCAATCTAACAGTTAAATCTCTCTGTCTATTTTTAATAACTTATTATTTCTTCTCTTTCCACTCTGTTTCCACTCTCTGTGTGCTCTCATCGGCAGAGAGGGCAATGAATAGGGAAATAAAATTGCTATCAATGAAACCCTGGTGATGATGCTAATCAAGGTCTATAATCTAATCAATTCTCTCTCATCTAATTAGTAATTATTGTACAGAAGATGAAGAGAAATTAAGAAAAGCATTGTATGTTTTGAAAATGTTTGAAAAAAAAGAAACCAGAAATTCTAGTTTCATATTACAATCAAAACAAAAGGCCCAGCAAAACAGACAACATTGTAATATAATGTTTATTATCATTACTGTTACTGTTACTGTTGTTGTTGTTGATGTTATTAGCCAAAGTTTAAAAAAGTTTACCTTTCTTAAAGTAACATGAGCACCTTAATTGTTGGCCATTAAATTATGATATTCAGTAAATCAATGAAGAGTTTTGATTGAAAAATTCAACAGCAACCCAGAAACAGAAACTTTTTCTGCTTTACTCTCAGCTTGATTGGTAAATATCCTGTTAAAGAGGACTTGTCATTGTTGTCAGCAGTTTTTTTTCGCCTTGCTTGTTTGATTTAGTAATATTACGCATTTCAACGATTCAACAACATTTCTCTAAATGAAACTGATAATTTGAAACATAATTAACATGGTGTTAAATTGTTTAATTGGCCATCTTCTCATGGGTTAGTCATGTTCTTCGTATGTGTGTAATAACTCGAAATATGATCTACAAGTCCGTTTGGAAAGGGTTAACATCAAGTTGCTGCCTCCAAATTGAATTTAATTTTGTTTCATCTGGTCCAAAGTAAAAGCAACTGTATCCATGTTTTGAAGTTTTGCTTGCTAATTGATAATCGTTTACTGGCAACCAACCAAACATTGAAAAATAAAAATATTGATGTTTCTTTTTTTGGTAAGGGTGTTAATAAATGATCCTGTAATGGTGATAATACACGAATGAACATTGGCTTGAGTTTTGATTGAAATCTCTCTGGATGAACAAAGTTCCCGAAAAATGTTGCATAATCCTTTGTAAGAATACCATAATTTTACTCCAAAATAATCATCCAAATTGATCAAATCAAAGCAACAGCACTCTCTGGTTTCCATTGTTTAGTCTCCTCTCCAACATTGTTAACCAATTCACAATTGAAAGTCTCTTTCTTTTTACTTTTGTTCTCAGCACCTCGATTTTCAATACTTCCAGTAAGATTGGAAATGACGATTATCTTCCAATTACCTAACCAAAAAGGCTTAAACAGTTAACAAAAATGATAAATCGTTTGAATACGTTTGAGTAAAAAATGTCTCTCTTTTGGGTTGATGACGAATGACTCCATTGTGAAACAAAGGGAAAGAGAGGGAAAAGAGGCAGCTTGAAAAAAAAGCCAAACCAAAACGACTTTAATCCACATTTACAGAAACATTGTAACGAGAAAAAACGCCCAAACGAATTGTTTTTGGGTGAATTTATGCCAGTGCGAGATAGATTATTGTTGAATTTGTTTTCCTACAATAACACAGAAAAAAAAGAGTAAACTAATTAAATGAAACAAAACAATTACTTAAGCAAAACAATTGAACAATCTTAAACATTCACCATTGTATTAATTAACTTTCTTATGTGTAGATGGCGTAAACTGTTTTTAAATGAAATGAATGATTTCAATTGATTCAAGAATGAAATTAATTTAATAACTGATTAAGACTAACATTCAGAAGCAACTTGAATTTTCAATTTGCCCAGCTATAGCAAAAGTAGTCTTAAAAACAAAATTGCAATGTAGCTTAATCATGTTAACAGTCAAGTGTTTGGGAAAATTATTTGCTAACAAAATATTTATACATTTGTAAATTAAAAGCATTTTCATTTGGAGGTTCAACTTTCATTACAACTTTAATTGTAATCACAATTACAATCGATGTAAGGCCAACAAGTGATTGGTGTTGATGCATCAAAGCTTTAAGTTAATCAAATCCAGTTTAAGCTCCAAATTTTGCTCTGAATCAGCTTTCCAATTTGGATCTCAAACGATTCTCAATGTGGAGCCGGAACAATTTCAGTGAAATTTATATTTTGATCTTGACGCTTGAAAAATGACCTTTTCAAATGAGCTCGAACCTGAAAGTGAATAAGAAGTTGATTGAGATTGTTAATTATGGATTGTTTTTGTTTGGGTTTTGTAATTAATTTCATCATGTTTTAATAATTTAGATTGATGATTATAATTTGAATTGACTGGTTGAGATTTTATCATAAACTGAAATGAAATTATCTTTTACTTTTACAATGTTTCTAATTTAAAGGCATCGGTTTAATAAATTGCTTGTAAATTGAAAAAGGTTTACTTATTTAACTTAATAAATCAAGTTAACAGATTAACAGTAAAACAATTTCTGGTAAAATTAACTATTAATTTAGAGACTTACTTCGTTATTCAAGAAACAATAGAGGATTGAAACAATTGATCCTTGTAAGCCATCCAAAGTGATTGAAGCATAATGATAAAGTTCAGAAAGCCAGCAAACTCTGGAAGAAAAGTAAAATCAAAGTTGAACACAATTACAATTTGTATTAACGAAAAGCATCCTCAAGAGAATTTCCAGTGATATTTATCATGATAATACCTATTTCAGGTATCAAATGTTCAATCAATGCACCTCGCAACTGCAACTGTTTCAACTTTTACACGCTTTTACCTTCCAGGTAAATTTTGGTGAAAAGTTTACAACAAGATGGATTTCATTTCATTCAATATTTTATACTTTAGATTACATGAAACAACAAAATAATTGTTAGCTTAAAGCCTTTTTGGTTAATTGCTATTGAAATTTGACTATTTTAATCAATTTTCCAGGTTAACTTTACGATTTTTCATTTGCCTTTAGATTTTCGATAGGATTTTAAGATCGATTTTTCCATTAAAAATTTAATCAACTCTGAAAAGTTTCAATCTCTTTAACTGGGCTTTCAAGCTAAAAGATAATTTTGTAGATTCGTTGATACTTTTTTGTGTTGAAATGCCAAGGAAAGTGTTTTTCGCATTCTTGGTATAATGGTGTAAAAATCGATGTCAGTATAAATCGGAAATCGGACATCGCTACAGTCTAGTTACATTGACACAAGGCATTAAGATTTTTAAGTCAGTGTCCAAATTAGAGTATCTTTTCAAGTTTAAAATCAATAATTGAACTAAAAGCATCGAGAATGGCTCAAAAGATAAAGATATTTTGCTGGACATTTTGTTTGCCCAGTAATGGTTTACCAATTTAATGGTTAGAAATGAGTTAACGAAAAGTGCAAATGAACTGTCATTGTTACTGAATTAAAATTAACATGAGATTGGTCAAAATCGTGTGTCAAATTAACGCTCCTCTTTAACAAGTGTAAGTCTAGATAGCAATAACATTCCCTGTAAATTCCTATAGATTTTGAGCTTCTTCATTCATTAAATTGGAAGGAATTGAAATACAATCATTCCACTTGGGCTGGACCAGTTCTCTAAATAGGAGACATTTTGTTATAATATTAGAAACCTTTGCTTGCTTTTGGAGTTGGTCCTATTAGCACAGAGATGTTAAAGAAACACTTCTTGCTTATTGAAGCCATTGTCTCCTATTTAAAGAAATGTAATACTCAAGCAATCATAAAGTTAGATGAAACTGTGATGAACAAAGATAAATCAATCAGACGATGATGAGAGGGGAAAATTGTGTTCAATCAGAATTGCTTGAAAAATTTAAATGTGAGGTTTATGTTAATAAACTAATGCCATCTATTATTTCATGCAATTAAACTTAAGAGTATTTATCAATAAAAATCAATTTGAATGTTTGCTGTTCAATAGTAAGTTAAAATGCTTGTGACTAGGGATCTAATGCTTATGTTGATCCAATAGTGAACAATAAGACTACAGATCTCTACTTTAAGCATAAATGACTTTTTTGGTTGATTATTGATTTACCCTGAAAATTTTCGCTGTTAATGAACTATAAACATTGCAATTAGTTTTAGTCTTTCTTACCCAGTGTCTGGACGGTAAACAATGAATAAATAATGAAGTCCATAGAGAGGAAGCAAAAGACTTGCTGCCCTCAGAGAGACCAGGAAACTGGCTCGAGTTATTGGAGCCTTTTCAGGTGAGGTTGGCACTCGAAGAAGATTGCGACGGTGTTGGTGAGGTGAAGGTGTTGAGGCTAGTGAGGCTGGAGTAGCTGCTGCTTTGGCACAAATTTCACGTAAAACTGAGATGAGAAAAATGAAGTTTATCTGTTAACGAAAGAGAAAAAAATTGTTTAAAAAATGAATTCTGAGCATTAAAAATGAGCAAAAGCAGGTAAAGTCACAATGATGCAAACTTTCGAGTCACATCGATTTACAATTTTTAAATTCAATTTTCTGTAAAAATCGTTTCTTTTCAAGTGAAAAATAAGAAAACTTGTGAATCAAAAGCAGCCTTTAATGGAAGTTTTTACTCAATCCTTTGCAATTTACTAATAACCTAAATTGTTCGATATTGATTGTTGATTGTTTATCAATAGAAACTTGTCAATTGTTTTTCCTTCTCATTAATGATGTTGCTTTACTCTTCCATTGACTTGAAAACAAAAACAAAAACTTTGCAACAACAAAACAACTGACATAAGTTGTCGATGTTAGCCTGTTATTTAATTAATTTTTGTTTTTGATTAACTCTTTTCCATCATTAATGTTTCACTTGACGATTTATCAAATTTTTTGCCTTTTCTTCTTCTTCTTCTCGGATTACAATCTAATTGCATGTTGACTGAGAGATTGAACAAACTGAATAAATTGAACCAATAAATCAGAATTGACGGAATGATTGATGAAAGTAACGGAAACTTATTAAAATATCCAGTCAATTGTGCTATTTGTAAGATCAATCATATACTAAACCATGTAAAGTACAATTGGATTGATTAAAATGAATAATAATCGAAACTCAGTTCGAATTTGAAAAATCGCAGAATCGAAGTCAAAAAAAGCAAAATGAAAAGCTTTTCCCTTTCAATGAAAAGTAAAAGCAATTAATTTGAAGCCAAAGCTTGTTGACAATTGGTATTGATTAATGTGCAAAATGATGAACATCTATTGTCAACATTCAGGAATGTCATATTTCAATTGAATATAAGATGGAACCAAATTGGTATAAAAATGTAATAATAAGACTCATAATACTAATGAGTTTAGTGGCTTTTATTAGGTTTACATTAGTCTTGATTAAGTTGAAGGAAAACAATTAGTATTCGATGCTAAGAGTTGATCGCTTCAAGCAAACTGACAAACTCATGCAAATTGCCATTGGCAGTTCAACTGGTTGGCCAAGTTTGGGTGAAAATGTGAAAATGAATTTTCTCTTTGATTGAAAATTTAACTCACAAAATTGCAACAATCAACATTTTACTAGCAATTAACGCTAAATTAGGCTTGTAAAACTGTTTCTGTTTTTGCAAGTTAAACAAAATAAACTCAAGTGTAAATTGAAGTTGGTTAAAGAAGTGGAATCATTAATCAAAAAACGATCCAAAAAACGGAAACTTGTTTTGACATTAAAAGCCAGTCTCGATTGTAGACACAAAAGATAGTTGAAATTGATTCGAGAATTGGTTCAATTTGTAATTATTCAGAGAAATTATGAAAAGCCATTTTCCAACAAAAGATTCACCAGACTGAATTAAGTTGATCACTTGTAAATTCGAGATTTTCAATGAAAACTCTGTAACTTTAGCTAATTATCTGAACAAGTTGAGGGATAAAATATTTGGAAAAACGGCTTTTCCATGAAATCAAATTATTTTCTTCTTCTTCTTTGAAAGCAATTTTCGGAAGCAATTTTTAAAAGTTCACAATTTGATGAAAATTTTCACAACAGTTTATTGATTTACCATCTTTGAACGTAACCTTTGTAAGAAATGGTCAAAATTTTATCATTTTCATTGTCAACTTGAAGTGAGTTTAATAAATTTTGAAAATATTATTTTGTCCACAGAAAAATGACTTTCTCATTGTGAGCCAACTTTCATGATAATGGTGATAATAGCTTTGGAAAGGTTTATTAGTTTGAAAAATTTGGACTTTTGATGAAATTTGAAATGGCATTCATTATGTTGTTCATGAACATTAATTTGAGAATAATGTTGAACAAATTTGAGATCAGAAAAGAAGGAGAAAAAGATTGGAAAAATTTTTCACCAAAAGATGCAAAAGAAGGAAAAATAATGTTCTTTTTGATTGATCATTTCAATTGGCTTACCACAAGAACTGAAAGGTTTGGACCATTGATGATCCATTCTTGCCAAGCATGTTTAGACGGAAGAAGCCAACAGGTATCACCTTGGATGGACAGTTGATTCTCAGGGATATTTATCACATTCCCTGGAGAGTCTGGAGTTGCTATTGTTTCTGAAGAGTAACTGGAAATGAAACGGACAATGATGTAGGAAGTGTTGGTCAGTAAAGGAACACCATAGGCAAGAGCGATTAGACTTTTCAGGTTTGGAGTTGTGAAGACTCGAGCCATTAATTGGTGCAAATAGAAAGCTTCATTAAACATCCAAAAATAAGTTGTCGATCTGAAGTATTTGACCAAAACGGAAAGACATAAACAGTAAATGGTTGCTAGATGGGAATATGGATTATCGGTTGGTGGACTGGTCGATGTTTGTGGTGAAGCAAAGGGCGAAGAGGATGATGTTGGAAGGCTTTGACCCAATCCAGTTGACTGGTTTTCCTCTTCTTCGTAAATTGTCTCGGTTGATCCATTGATCATATCAAGAGTAAGTAAAGACATTAAGATTGAATATGACAACAGGGAAATCAATAGATGAACATGAATTTTAACTCGATTGGTTTGCGATAATTGTCTGTTAAATTGAACGGAAAAGAAACAATCAGTAAATAAATCAACGAATCCGTTCAACTGATCAAACTGAATATCATACATTGAAAGTGTCGAGATGTAACAATACAAAATCAATATGTTTATTGAAATGAACAAAAAAAGGAAACATTAAATTTCGAATTAATTATCCATTGAAAGATTGAGCTTGAGTGCAATCAAAGATCAACAATGGATTGATGTATTTAGCTGTAAATTACTTTTGGCTTATTCTTTAATTATTGTGTTACCATGTCATTTGCTGTATTATATTACGGATAAAAAAGTGTTGGACAGTCATTTAGTTGAAAGTTATTAATATTGACAGGCAAAGAGACATAAAAAGACGAGAAATGAGAAAAGTTTCATTTATTATAGCCATTATTATTGACCTTACATATTAGCATTATTATCATTTTAGTGCCAAATAAGTTCCATGTTCATTATTTTGTATCATTATGAGATTGTTAAACTTTTATCATTTGGTTCAGGAACATGTTTAAACAACGAGTCTATGAATCGTTAAATAAGCTGAAATGGTGACTTTTTCAGGTAAAAAAGTGTCATTATTTTGGATAATCAACGTTTGAAAGGAAAATATTTTTCTGAGCTTTTTTGAAGAAGATTGAAAATAGACTTGCAAAGTTGGGTAAAGAAGAGAGAAGTGAATTTACTGCAAGACTTTTTTCATGATTTTCAACTTGAACGTGTTTCTAGCATTGAACTGTTCAAGTCGAGTTTTTGTCTTTGAATACTTGCGATTTAAAGACTTATCAAGCTTTTAATGTCACTTTAATCGATAAATGATGAAGGAAAACAAATGACTTCAACTGGAGATTCTCATTGTCATTGAACATTGAATATCATGTTTGGTTGCAACATTTTTACTCTTTGCATCACTGAGGATAAAAATAACTCTTCAGTTCAATCATTTACTCTATTCATGTTTAATTTACAGAATTGACATTTGATCAACTTTTGTTTAATATCAACTAATGTTGTTGGGTGCAAGGGAAGAAGGGTTTTGGCTTTTGCAAGTAAATTTAGGAGGAAATAAATTTTCACTTGAAAAACTGCGACTAAACACATTATTTTTAGACTCTTTTTTTCCTATGATCGTCATCACAATGAGATTTATTACAAACTAAACACTTAACTAATTGTTAACTGAATTGCTTCTTCCCTTTTTTAAGACATGCAATTCTAATCATAGTCTGACTCGACTGATTATTTATCTTGGCTCAACAGTTGAATTGTTTAATTGCATGTGTTTCAAATGAAACTGAATGGTCAACTGTTCATTGAACGTGGACTGAGAAGGGAAAGAGTATAAAAACGATTGACTTTCAGTGAAGAGTCAATCAGATTGAATCAGTTGGCCAAAAGTGCAAAAATAAGTTCTTCTTTGGGTTGAAAGATTGTTTCCAATTTGTTCAAGTTAACATCACCGGAATAAACCTTTTAATTTTTGATTCAATTTCTGGTAAAAGTTTTGTTTCTTCGTGATTGAGTCAAGATAATGTTAAGAGCAACATTTATTGTCAACATTTTATTCCTGTTTTTCATTGCAACTTGTGAAGTTAAAAGCCAAGATAATAGTAAAACTCGGAACCAACGAAACTCGGCAAGTGATTATGCGAACACACTCAGAGGTAGTTGCCAGCAATATGGTCATTCCTGTCTTGGAGGTCATGGAAAAAGAAATTTCAATCCAACGGTAAACTTGGAGGAAACAGTGAAACCAGGATTGGATTCATTTGAACTGGATCAGAGTTGGCCAAGAGTATCAAAGTTGCCCAGAAAAAAGTCACTTCTAAGTCCATCAACATTTTACTTGATACCAGTCAATGTACCTGAAAATGGTCTCAACTCTAAGCTAATTTTTTCACCTTCACCATTCCAATCCATTCCAACTGATTCCTTAGAAGTGAATCAATAAAGCTTTTGCTTAAAACTGAAAACTGTTGCTGAAAGTGATTCAACAAAAACAGTTCATCATTCCATCCAATCCACAGTTTTCCTTTCCCTGACAAATGAGCTGAAATTAGTCTTTCTTAGATAACGATTCTAGTTCAGATGAAACAGAATAAAGTTTCAATTTTGAAAATATTGAACGGCTACAAAAGGTTTCGCTTAGCATAAGGTTTGAGATTTATTTAATTTAATTTAGATAATGGTTTTCAGTTTTGCTTTGTAACAATTTTTACGACCTTTAATAACAATAAAAATGTCCAAAATGTTTATTAATATGCGAAATATGATCTGCGGTCAGAGAGTGAAGTACATCTCAACTGGCAAAGGATAACTCATCTTGACTGTTATTATGCATAGTTGGTAAAGATGGATTTGCAAGTTCGTTAAAAAGAGATTCTGTTTTCCAATGGAAATTTTTCCCATGCAAAGATGTATAAAGTTATATCCATTATTATAAAATATAATCATTATAGTAGGTAATGAAATGCACAATTTTCATCTCATATTTCTCATTTCAATTATTTTTCTTTCATTATTACAGGGTGTAACTAAAGTTCGTGTAGGTAGGAGGGCTTAAGAGAGGGAATCAGTTTCTCAATCGAGAAATTAAAGCAAATTAAAATTGGTTTCTACGCAGGGGGAAATATTTTTTTGCCTCCTACACGAACTTTAGTTACACCCTGTACGTTGCCAAGTTGAACAAATTTATGGTTCAAGCTGATGTCAGGCAAAAACTCAATTTAAGGTTGGAAAAAGTCTGAATAATCAGTAAATTTCTGTGTAAACTAAAGACAAAAAAAAACATTTTACAGCAATAGTTGAGTAAATAATGTTTCATGGTAAAGATGATGTTGAGGAAAACCTTTGGTTTCACTTGATCAAACATGAGGTCAGTTCATTTTCACTTGAACAAGTGCAAAATTCATGGAAACCAGGAACGAAGGATTTCCCAAAAATCTAAATAAGAATATTCAGAATAATTGAATTTTAAAACTCTATTAAATTGTGAATTGTGATCAAAATGTGAAACCAAATATTAGTCTTAAAATAATGATTACAATGAAATGAACAAAACTTATATCGAATGAAAATTTCTTGCAAGATTGTTTCATTTCCATGAAGATTTGAAGATATAAAAGACTTGCAAGTTCTGCTAAAATGAACTAACATTTGACTGAGAAAAGGGTAAAAATAGAAATTTGTTTTTCTCCCAGTTTTGATCATTATAAGGCGATGTTGACCAAATGAAGATTTAATTTGATCAACTCAATTTGGATGGGATTAAAAGTTGCTCAAGTTGCAAGTCAACAATTGATTTACCTTGATAGGCTTAACAGTAAAACAGGTAAGTTTACAAGTGAACGTATAACATGATATTTCAAGAGTTCAATTGATCTTTCATGCAAAAACTTCTTACCTTCAACTTTTCAACCAATCAATAAAAGCTACTTTCACTTCTTCATGATAGCAAAGCATCAAATATCCAACCATTGAATATACAATCATCAGAATAAATCTGACAGTTGAAATCATCTCATCATCTGCATGTTAACCGAAAAGTCAACGAATCAACTTTTTTCCAGACTTTTAATAAAAAGACAAAAGTTGACTTGAAAAACAACGAAAAAGCAAAACAAGCAAATTCCTATTTTTGCACATTTTAATAATGATGAGATGAAAATTGTCATCGGAAACGATGAGACTGTTTGTCAAAGTTGATTGATGCAATTTGCAAACATTTAGATTTATCTTGCCATGTTATCGATTCATAATGAATTAGCTGAACGAGCAACAGAAAAAAACACTCAAAATATTGGTACAAGTAAATTATCACTTCATAAATCAAGTTTTCGCCTTTCATGTATTATGTTGAGGGAAGGAAAAAATAGCAATATGAATGAGAATCACAAGAATAATATCAATGATAATAACATGGAATGAACAAGAGAAACAAGTTTTTATTATTTCTTTCATCTTCACAACCATTATTACCATTATTTGGAGCAGCATAAGAGGGACTCAAGTCAAGTTTACCAAAAGATCATGTAACAGAAGAGGATGAAAAGCTCGTAAAGCGCGAACCTCTTCAAGGTACAAAAAATGTAACGTGAATCGACAATCATATGCACAACAATGTTACTGGTGACAAGTTCAACTGACATTTCATGATCAATTCAGTTCTAGTTATTAGAGGCAATTTTCTGATCTATAATTTACTCTCAAATTGATTCAAGTCTTGCCTTTCATTTTTTCAGCATTCAACTTCAAACTGAATAAAATTTGCAGACTTTAATAAATGATTTTTTTTCTCGTTCAGACAAAAATGAACTTCTCAAATAACTTTGTCAATTTAACTTGACGAGGTGCAAATATTTTAAAAAGCTTCATTTTATTCTGTGAACTATTCTGACCATGAAACTTTTACTTCCAAGTAACCTAATAGCTATTGAATGCCATTTAACTTCACCATTTTGCCTGCTTTATTCAAACGTTAATTTTATTTGTAAATGATTGGGTTTAGTCTGGTTAAGCATTTAATACTTGAAAAGTGTTCAATGTAAATAAAAGCCCAGATAATTGTGACATTTTTCAATGGATAATGAAAAATCATACAAGTTAAAGGGAAGCAAAATTCAATGAATAAATGATCATTTGATCGAGAAACGAGAAAATGAGAGTTGAACGATTTTGCCTTTTCCAATAAAATGTTTCGCTGTAAAAATGTTCAGTAAATGTAAGAAAATGACATTTTTCAAAAACTCATCAAATTCATAAATATTCAATTTCGAAGTTATTTCAACGAGAATTCTTAGACATGAAACTCGTATTATGTTGGAAACCACTTCATCTGAACCTTAAACGAAATCGAAGTCAATTTAATTCTAAAAGAATGAACTTCAGAAGATTAGCAATTTGCAAACTCTAATCGTTAGGATGGGCAGATTTTCGTGGAGAAATGTTCGAAACTTGATATTTCGTTGGAAGAATTTTTGGCTTGGAAATTGTTAATTTTTATTGAGAATGGTTCAGTTTAGTGAAGCTATCAAACTTTGAGATCTGATAAATTCTGACAGTCGATCAACATTTTTGCTTCTTCTTTTCATATCCCAAGCTTCATGTCTTGAAGCCTTGAAGCCTTTTGTATTGAGACTGTAAGGGCATTGTTGGGTTACAAAGAAGTTGAATGTTGAAGTGAAAAAAAAGGATGGAAAGGGAACCGAAAAAGCGGATAAAAAAGAGATGGAATGGATTGCAGGGAGGAAAAGATGATAATGAAGATGGAAGATGAAAAGAGAGGAATAAGAAGGAGTTTGATCAAGCACATTATCAATCTTGTTCCAGTGAATGCAACATGAAAGATAATTGAGAAAACAATTGGTTGGTAAAAATAATGATTGGTATAAGACGATGAGCCTTTCATTCATATTATCACCATTAATAGAAATGGGAAACACTGAAATGAACTTATTGATATTTCATGTTATTCACGCAGTACATGGCAGCATTTAATCATGTTAAGGAGTGAAAAGTCAATTCAATAAATGAATTTGATCAACAACCTTTAATTGAAAGTTGATTTTCAAAGAAACTTGAAATCTTTTATATTAATTTGAATATCATTTTTTGCAGAAACTCATGATAATCTCATCAATGAGTTTTGATTGTAATTTTGTCGTTATTCATCTGAAGCAGAAAAAAGTTGAATGCATTAATGAATCAACAAGTAATGTAATCACAACAGGTAAATATGAATGAGGAAAGGTCAAAAGTAAATTAATCCATCAAAGGAATGCGTCCATTCAAATGGATCCATTTCTGTATCATGTTTTGTTCGTAATGATGATAATCATGCAAATGAATATTGGAATGGAAAACTGAAATAGAATATTTTTATCTCTTTCAATATCATGATATCAGTTTGAAGAGTAACAAATTACTTACCGATAATATAAGAAAATATAAAGTGCAGGAATTATGAATGTGACGGAAGTCAGGTGAGTTACAATAAGGTAACGATTGCGTCTGATAAATATCTGTCGAGAGAAGAAAAGTTGAAATGGAAAATTAAAATTCGAAAAAAATGTTCAGAACAATCATGGAAATGATAGTTTTTTCATTGGTAAGACAAAAATGAATAAAAGTAAATTTTGTTCACAAAATGAATCTTAACAGAATCTCCAAGATTATCAACATTTTAATGAACATTTTCACGCAATTACAATTATTATTAATTTATCAAGATAAATCCCTGAAGCAACTGAACTTGTTAACCCTTTCAACACTTTTGTTCACAAGACATTTTCAGCTTTGAATGACTGTTTATTGTTGTGATGACCATGAAACAAGCATTAAACGGTTTGACACGAAATAACCTGAGGTAAAGAGGAATTGAATTGAATTAAGATTGAGACATCATGAAGAGTGAACAGCTTTATACTTTTCTCCTCGGTGAGTTGATTAAAGGGAAATCCTTTATTCACAGTGTTGGAACTCACAATAGCAGATTGAAGAGGAGAAGAGAAGGAAAATGAAAAAAAAGAAAGAAAACAAAATAACAAAGTTTCAAAGTCTCCTGAGATTCTGATTTATTATTTCATTCCATGTATCCCTTTACTCTTAAACCTTTTCTTCCCTATTAATTGTATCACCAGATTGTCAACAGTTTCCTGGATAATAAGTTTGTTCATTTTTCAGCCTTTTTTTCATTGTCAACTTTAACTGTTATTGTTGTTGTTTATCGTTAATAGTTGCTGCACTATTCAATTGGAAATGTTATTGACGTTAGATAATACCAATTGACTTATCTGTGATTACCAGGGAGTAATAATAATGAGACTAGTTCAACGGCATCCAAGATACTTGTTAATATTATCATGAACTTTTTCCTCTTCATTTTTCCTTCTCTTGTAACTTTTCATCCTTCAACTTTCTCAGAAAAAAATGTTCTTATTGTTTAACATGAAGACGATTATGATTGGAATCAGTGTCATGTCGTTAATACTAATGATTGAGATTACATCAGGATGTTATCTTGAGTAAAAGGAAAAGCTTTTCAGTGAATAAGAATTTTTCATGATTTGGATTTTTGAAATACTTTTTAGTGAATATCATTTTCTTGGTGAAATGATTTTCGATAATTGTTTCATCAAATATCGTTTGACATGAAATGATTCAATTGAACCTTCTCATGACGAATCTTGTTTACTTATCTTTTTCATGTTTATCAATTGATAATGTTACCTGAAGTTTTACCTTCTTTCTTGTGCTTTGTCAGTTTATCAAGACAATAAACACCAATCAAATAATAACTCAAGGTAAACAAGAAACTAATGAATCAAGATAAATCAAATATCGGTAAGGATGTAATTATTGAAAAGGTAAATGAACAAGACTTTAGTCGAGCTTGTTTGAAGAGGAAATTTTTTCAGACTTTTCATGTTGACTCCATGATTGGATGATCAAATTATTTGAAATGAGCGCATTTCCTTCATCAATACATCTTGAAAAGTTGAAAGTTTGTTCACTTGATTGAACCAAACATTTCCGTGCAAACTTTGTAAAGTTATTTATACTTTTTTTGTAAAGGATTGATCAAGATGATGGGAATGATTCAGCTGAGCTTCAGAATTTTCTCTAATACTTTTCGATTGTGTTCAGAACCAATCGACTGTAAACTTATTAGCAGCGAAATGTAACTTTTTCAGTTTAGACGATTGATTTTGATACATTTCGAGACTTTTGTCAAATGTCTCGATGCAATTAACAATCATCTCGAGTTACATGATTAATGATTTAAAAATTTTACTGTAAGAAATGATTCGATTAGGTTGAACAAGATTCGAGTTTTAGTTGAGCTGGAAATTGGAACAACTTTGGAAATGTTTTAAACTTGGAATCGGTTTGACGCTAATGTACAAGTTTAACCAAGCATATTGATATTTTTGGTGTCGATTCTGGAAAACAAAGATTCCACTCATTTGCGGAATCTTCAGCTTCATTCATATCCATCATTTCATTTTTTATCATTCTTTCAATTTCTTCATTCCCTTTCCTGACAGTTGATATCTGGATCTACAGATTTAAAGATATTGTTGAAGTAAAAGGCAATAAATCATGAGAAGCATAAAAAAGTCTCAGCAAATCTGGGTTAAAAGTAAATTTGATGAATTATCATGCAACACGACCAGAGTATCCAGTCTATTGCAGGGTATAAAAAACGTGAAGAATTATTTTTCATTCAGATAATTCTTTACAAGTGAAATTTGACCGATCTTTAAATGCAAAAATGTGATATCATGAGCAAACATCGGAACTCTTCTTCTTCTTCCATTGTAATTTGATAATGACTTTTGGTTGTCTGGGAAAAACAATTGAAGCATAACTTGCGAGTTCAACTTTTTATTGCTTATTGTAAAGGCTTCTATGGATCAATGTCAATGTTGGCTGCAACAAAACAGGATCACAGCATTAGAGCATTGGGTGTAAAATTGAATGAAATTCAATTGTCAATCAACTTATCAAATGATCAACTCAATTTGACTCGCATTCAATGAGACAAAATTGAAACAATTTACATAAAAGTGACAGCATTTAGCATAAAAAAAGACCATTTCTGGGTTAACCTGACCACTCTGGACCAAAGAGTTTTGTCTCGCTTGGACTAAACCAATATCATCATACAGTTTGAATATTAATTCAATATTTCAATCGTATTTTAAATTTTCCCAAAAAGCTTTTTTCTATTCAGTTATCTAGCTTCTTAGGAAAGGAAATAAAAAATATTCAATTTTCGGCGAAGTTAAAAAATTAAAATTACTTTTTTTAGCAAAAATTTACGATTTCTTGGATTTTTTTCGAGATCGAAGCTAAATTTCGATTTTCAAATTCCTCTTTGCGAAATCGAAATACCTTTCTTCTGTTGAATAACCGCAATAGTTATTGCGATTTCCAAGATTTCGTTGAATTTTCTTTTTCTTTATCAAGCATTTCGTCTTGAGGTCGTTCGGCTCATGTTGTTTCCAGATCGGATTAAACTCTTTGGCCTAGAAGCGGACTTATTTATATTTTAGCGAAATTTTGTTTGAATGTAAAGTTCAGTCAATTGAATAACATTGAAATGAAGAAAACTTCGCTTGAAGAAATTTCCCATTTTGATTTCTTTTATTTTCACTTGAAAAGTTTACAAATTTCCTCACCTAATCGACACATGATATCAGAATTGATACAATGCAGTCTTTGCTACTATCAATAGATTACCATGCAAAGTCCATCAAATTACCTTTGAAATTGGTTCAAAATTGAAATTTCAGAATATCATTGAACTACTTCGAGTTTCATCTTTACATTACAATCTACTCTTTGGTATGTTTGCATCTGTATAATGAATGTTTTTACATTTTCTCAATCAATTCCCAATTTACTCAACTATCTCAACAGAAACCTTGCAACATTGAAACTCATGAAAATTTTATTCTATTCCATGAATTCCATCAAAATTCATCAGGTACACACAATGTTGCCTTATTGTCCTTTACTCAACATAACATTTTGCCTGAAAATTGAATCTTGAAAATTGAGAAAATACGATTTTTAAATGAAAAGTAAAAGTCAACATTTGGTTATAAATAGCAAAGTTGCTATTTATGTTCAACTGTTTTCAACTTTCGCCAAACCTCAGCTGGAAACAGTACATTGTAATAAAAGTTGTGAAAACAAGTTTTGTTTGATTAAATTTTCACGCTAAATTGGTTTCTTCTTGAAATATAATTATAACATCAGACGTTAAACATCACAAAAAAAAAAATCTTGACTTTAAAACAAATTCTTGATCAATACATTAATTCAAGGCGATTATCAACATTATGTTACATCTAATTGAATACAAGGATTGATATTGATCACAATCAGGTCATCATCATCATCGCCATTATCAGCATCATTTTCAAAAGGATCTTTACTTTTGTCCAAATAGATGAAACACAAATTTGCTTTTCTTGTCCACACAAAATGTCCTGTCAAAAGAAGACCAAGATTAACTTTGCAAGTCAATATATCCAACAACATCATCAATGATCGCTTTTCATCGCTTTTTTACACTTTTTTCATCTTCCTCATCCTTTTCTCTTCCTTTTCATCTTTCCTCTTCATTCCATTTCTACCCTGTCAGCTGAATCCATCTTATCCATTAGATAATTTTGTTCATGATAACATTTATTTTCCTCATCCCTTTCCAATAAATAATAAGGTATTTCAATTTGTTTAATTGCTTTTCTCCATTTTTCCTTCTTCAACAATTAACTTTGTCATGCTTACAATTTCCGTTTCTTTGATATTCTGTGACAATATTGATGAACCTCAAAGTTTATCAACTGATTGGTAAGATTTCAGTTGAAACCGATTAATAGAAGTCAATGTGAATGCAACAAATGCATGATAAGGTTTCATGAGATTCAATTGGATTCAAGTCATTCCTCAATATTGACCATTTCACACTTCAAAATACTAACCTTAGATTTTTGTTCAGAAAAAATTTTCAAGTTTTTGTTTCCATTGAAATGAAAAGACAAAGGAAATTTCGTATTTTATTTGGAACTGGAAAATTGGAAGATTTTTAAGGTTGCATTCTCTGAATGCTTGGTACTGAAGGGTTAAGGTGAACATTTTTGGATCATTTTTTAAACAAAGTTCAATGTTTTATCATTTACCTTTTTCATGGCTTGCTACTGAATCTATCAATCGAATCGATTCGAGTTTAAAGAGGTAAATACTTTTAACCTGGCAACCATGCAGAAGGATGAGAATCTAAAGTTTTGTTTTATTACAAAAAAAAGGTAATTTACTTTCGTCTGTTTAGTCTCGAATAGGCCTGTGAAGTTTGAGGATAAATAAAGCTATCACTTGAAAATAATGAGATAACAATTGAAGATAATGAAACATTGATGTGACATTGGGAAGTGAGTACAAAAAAGGTTACAATAATGAGTTAAAGATCAGTTGTGGCAACAAGAATGGCCTTTCATGTCCTCAAGGCAGTGGACAGAAATGACCTTATAGCTTGAGATGAAATGGAATGGTTATGATAAAGGAACAAAAATATATCATTATTATTGAATTGGATTCTCATCATTCACCTTTTATTTGCTTTACTTGGTCTAATAATTTTGAAATTGCATGAAAAAGTATATTACATTTTCATGGATTTCATTTCATGCTCTTTTTTTCACCAAGAAAATGACAAGAATTTTCAAAGAAAAATGATCAAAGAATCATTTTGATCGTTAACTGCTTGGCAACCGTGAGAATTAGATGGTTAAATTAGGCGAAATTCATGGAAAAGGCAAGAACTTTTTCCATCAATATTTTGGTTCATCACGAATTTACGATATGAGAATTGAAAAATCATTTGATAAGTTGATTGATAAACATAATGGTTTTGATTGACCAATGTTTGGTCATTTTGAGGTTGAACTTTATTCTGACAGGATTTAAGTGATTTCCCAGTGCAAATTAATTTCCCTTTGAGGTTGATGGAAAATTGAAATTTCATGAGAACAGCATCTGGCTAAATGTTAATTACAAGGCAATTAAAAGTTGGCATTCACAGTTTTGCTGTGCAAAAAAGGTCAACTCTAATGGTTTAATTATTAGGTGTAAAAAGGATGACAATTGTTTCTCCATTAAAATGATGAATTTTTCAATAAACAGTTTTCAACTTGAATGAATATTATAATTGTGTTTGTCAAAAGATATGATTGCATGTTTAATGGTTAAACAAATGGTGAACAAATTGAAGCTTCAATGTTCATCTATTTATAAACCATTTCATTGCTTTTTAACTAACGATATTGTAAGATATGTTATTCATGTAAAAGTAGCAAGAATCATTCATTCATTGAAAAATTTCATTTCAATTATATTCTGCTCTAAGAAATTAAAGAATATCAATTGATTTGAATGAAGCAATGGACATGTTTATCATTGAAATTCATGAAATGAATCAGCAAGAATTTCAATATTTGAATGTTAGTGTCAAAGATTTGAAATGCAAACAAACCTAAAGACTAACAAATGTTATCCAAAAATGGTTATTGTTTAGTCAGTTTCATGAGTAAAAAGATATCAATATCTTGATATAAAGATGGTCAGTTGAAGGAATGTTCAGAGCAAGAAATGTTCTGATTGTGATTCGAGTAATAATGATAAAAGCTTGTCTTTTTTTAACATGTAAACTGGATGGAAATGATTGTTATTGGAAAAAGAAACTCAAAATTCAATAAATAAATATTTGTCAATAGAGAAAAGAAGATTTTTGTTTTGAAAAAAAAATTTTTCTCCAAATTTTTTCAAATGTCAACATGTTTTGCTCTGACCATTTCAATCATTTTCAAGTTTATTAGCATAACTTGGAAATGGCCATTTTGGCCATTAGGAAATTGGTGATGAAAAAGGGTTTTTAATTAAAAGGTTGAAGTTGGAGAAAAATGGGAAATGATAAAATCAGGAATTAATAAACTTACATCTTCTCTAGCATCTTCTCTAGCACAATTGGTATAATTGGTCCATTCACTTGCGCCCAATTTGAACCAACTTCCGTTTGAATTGCAAACCTTTGAAGCTGAACCTGGATAATAAGGTAATTGAGAGATTGTCAGGATGAAATCAACGGAAATGACCAAGATAAAGGTTAATTCAATATGCATGAAAAGTTGACTTTTTTTGAGTAACTCTGTTCTGACTAATAACATTTGACAATGATTTGACAGGTAACTTGTCAGGTTGAAGAAATCAACATTTCGCTCGTCTTTTCCTTCGTTTAGATAATTGCAATCTACTGATTGACCTTTGTAAAGTTTACTGCTGATATTGTAAACTAAAATTGAGATAAAATTGTGTTAACTTTGCAAAATCAAATGTTAATATGATATACATTTACTCATAGTAAATCACTCCCTGAGGCTTGTCTCAGATTTTATCCGCATTCTTGTTCCATGTTCAGTTTTCTGCTTTTGACTTTTTTCATTCTTCTTTTGTCTGATCATTTAAAATTTAATCTTAAAAATTCTGTCCAAAATGTTGACGATGGAAGAAATGAGTTTGAGGGATCAGCTTTTGTTGAATAGATTTGGGTTTTTCAAGTCAACCCAAAATATTTTCATGTCTTTGTTGGTGTGCTTTTGTCTTACCTCTACATGGAGGCACCCAAAGGCCCATCCAGTAGATGTGATCTGGACACTCTGTTTCCACAACTGTTCCTGCTTGTACTTCCTCTGGCCAACAAGACCAACCATCCCATGTAACTGGGCATGAAGGTTGATAGGCAATTTCACTCTCATACTGGTTCAATCGTTTATCATGGCGTAAGTACTTGAGACAACAGTCGACTGCTTGTTCACAACAATCTTGCCATTTTTGAAACATTGGAGGCAACAAAAAGGTTGAACCGAGATGATTTGTATCATTGGCCAAAACTGTGGCATTTTGTTTAATATCATACAAAATACCATGAGTTATGTACCTGGAAATATAGATGAAAATTGAGTCAAATAACGAGCTAAGATTTGAATAAAAGTCAAAACTCTATTAGTGAGTCTTTTTTAGGATTATTATTGTTACGTGAATTTGTTTTTCATTGTTTGGAGTGAGAAAGTTTACTCCAAAAAATAAAACATATTTTAATGGGCCAAACCAATGTTTATTAACGACTAACAACTAAACCAGAACAAGATTTACACGTAACTTAAATTGTTTTGTTTTCTCAACATTTTTGTAAATCATTAGCTGTTATTGTGGTTCAATAAGCTTCTGTTGGATATTAGTTTTTGTTCAAGTCAACCCTTTAACCAGACAAAAAAGAGCTTTCAAAATGGGTTCAATAATGGGTTAAATTAATGGGTAAAGTTTGAAAATGAAAAATTCTAAGCTCATTGAGTTGTTAGATGATAAAGTTATCAAGTTTATCTAATAGTTATTAGAGTTTTACGATTCTCACGATGATTATTGCTATTGACACTGGGTTTGAGAGGAAAATGAGATTCTCATGGAAATATTGAACACTTATTTATAACCAGAAAATATGCAATTCAAGCTGTTGCTTTGTAAGCTTTAGTTTCATTATTTTGGGTTGAATTTTATTTTGCTCATTGAAAGGAAACTTGAAGGATAAACTGATGGCATTAAGTTGACAATTGGTTGAGTTCATTTTAATTATAAATGGACTTTCAGATGACCCAATTGAAAGTTGACCAGAAATTATGATGTTAAGTGTAGATGATTGTGTAGGTTTGCCTCAGTTTTTAATCGTTTACTCAAATTACTTTCTTGGTTACCTAATATTAACTTTGGTTCTGTTCCAATGAGTCTTTGTGTTTTTTTTCATCTTCTCACCAATCCTCATGAAGATGGAGAGTTTTGTTACACAGAGTCAATACTTGATAATCAATGGTCAATCGTAAAGTCAATTTGGATTTTGGTTACATTCTGATGAACAGTTGAAGATAATGACGGATGAATGAAAAACAAATAAAGATCTTCATCAGTATTGTTTGCAAAGGTAAAGGTTGTGAATCTCATTGAATACTGAATGGTCTAATTAGATGTGGACTGATCCATATGTTGAATGATTAGTTGAGGTTATAATTGAAATTTTTGATGCCATTAATTTTGATGAAAAAATGTTTAAAGTTTAAAATAAATCAAACAATGTTTATCTAGCTCATTTGGCATGCAATTAATCAATTTTCATGGTTAATAATTTAGATGATTTCTGATGAATCGTGAACTGTTTAAATTGGAAAGGTAGACTTACTTAAGTTTATATGAAAAGGCCCAGGCAGGCATGTAATTATAACAACGAGCACAAGTGTCCAACTTGTAAAGCTCCAAAGGTAAGTAGGAACCAATTTCGGTTCGGCAGTAAATGTTTTCCTTCATTTCTGAATTGCCACTTTTAACTTGAATCTGAGGGAAAGGAGTGAAAAGATGTTTCAATTTTAGAGGCAGAAAAATAATTTATCGTGTGTTAGCTGATTGTTGGGTAATTAATCAACAATGAGAAAACAGTTTACATGATAATCTGTCAATTGGTGTTGTAAAAAGGTAGACACTAATCTCAAAGGAAACAGTCCATGTAAAATAAGCTTTCAACTTATGTGTCACATTCAAAATGGAGAAGCAATGTTCACAGTTTTTTGTTCGGACTTTTTTCTTCTTCTCTATTTTTAATTAAATGCATTCTGTAAATAGACTTCAGGTGAAAATTACATACCAGAAGCATGGGTATAATCGTGGTTAAAATAATGGTGAAAGAGTTATCCGTTGACTTGTATCGGACCATAATTTATAAAACTTAACAGGGGAAGATATTTGGTAAAGTTAAAGTTGAATTGATAATAATGATCCAATGGGTAAAAGGTGTTGAATAGTTGATAAGTTGATGACAAACAAGGTGAAGATGATTTGGTTTATTTGATATTTGATAAAGATGGTGATAGAGATGATTTGGAAGATACAAAGGAAGAACAAATTGTAAACTTAAATAACTAGAATGGTGTTGATTGGTTCAACAGGATAACAAAAAGGCCATTTACACTTTAACGCCTTGAATCAAGTAACTGTGATGTGACCATTGTTTTTTGGTCATGTTAAGGTCATCCTGGATTAACAGTTGATGTACAAAAAAAACACTAGAAAAAGATTGTTGATAATATTAATCAAGCCACAATTGTCGCAAAAAGAGACAAAAAATAAACTTCAACAAAAAGATGAAACAAAAAGCAAATATCTAACCTTGTTAGTCATTTCAGTTATGTTCTTGCATGAAGTTAACTCGAACTATCAGTGAATATCAGTTTGGAGAAATTTCGCTAGATGGAGTTGTGTTCGGTCGCTTCTGCGTAAAAACCTTCAACCCTAAAAGCTCAAAAGTTGACTCATTTGCTTTTTTCAACAAGAGTTACTAATGTTTTCTAAATCATAATTTTCTTTGTAATTCATAATCAATTATTTATTATTATTATTTTTTATTATTTATTTCTTTTTTAATTGACTTAATGTAAGTTCAAAGTCTCAAATGAAATTACCGGTGCGATTTTGTCTTTATTAAAATGCCTCGAAATATTGATGATCAATCCAAATCATTTGTTTCACTTAACTCACCAAGAAGAGTTCATGGTAGTCTTGTGGAAACATCTCCTTCTATGGTTACACGGAGTCACTGTTCAGGGGAATGCCGTAAGTAGTTTCAATTGTTTTCGATTACCTTCATGTGTTCATAGATATTTTTATTTCCTAAATGTGTAAATGAATTTCCTGAAACTAAAATTGACTTGTTTGTTTCCTTGTTCTTTTCCTTCTTTTTGACAGCCAGCAATGCATTAGCTGGATCTGGTAAGAGGCGGACCCGCGCAACTGGATCGGTTAATCTTCATGAGCATCTTCACCATCATGACCATGACCATCATCATCACCATCACCACAAAGATTCATTTTTGGTTGATCCTAAGCTTAGCTTGGCTGAAATCTCTGAGGATGAGATTGAACAGCGAGTGTTCAAAAGATCAGCTGACGATGATAGTTCGGATGAAGAGATTACCTTGATCAGACGAACAACAAATAAAATCATGACTACCATTGAGAATTCTAGTCGTAAAATGAATTCTGTTCATTCTAGTTGCTCCAAATATGCCTTTCTTACAATTTTCCTGCCAATCTTAGTTTTCCTTTTCTCATGGTACTATTATGATTACTCCCCGAGAGTTTTCCCCTATCAACAACAATCATCTCAAGGCGCTCTTCTACCAGTATCTTCAGCGTCACCATCACATGGTCAGCCAATACCTTTTTCATCGGGCCAATCATCATTTAATAGTCAATCATTTTGCAATTCAACTGCATCTTGTCCATCTTCGGAAGAAATTGCCATCTTAAATAAACGTTTAGACAGACTGGAACAACTAGTCTTTAAATTGACTGAGGAAATTACAAACAGCACCAAGTATATCAATACAATCGACGAAAAGGTTCAGAAGCTTGGTGTTGATAATCGTAAAAGTTTTGATTCTGTGGAAGAAAAATTTGTTAAAGTTTCTCAAAAAATTCAAGAAGCAGTTGAAGTAAACAAACAAATCACTAAAAATAAAGAAACAGCTTCTGTAGAAGAAATCGAAGGAATGATCAAACAAGCCATATATTTATACGATTCTGATAAAACAGGAAAAGCCGATTATGCGTTGGAATCTTCAGGTAGGATTAAAAAATGCAAAATATTTTGTTTCTATTGTTGCTTAAATCTTTTTCATTTATTTTCAAGGTGGATCCATTGTGACATCAAGATGCTCTGAGACTTACGATCCATACGGAATTAAATACAGTGTTTGGGGAATTCCTATTTGGTATACATCCAATTCCCCAAGAACAGTGATTCAAGCTTCCATGATTCCTGGTGAATGTTGGGCTTTTCCAGGCTCAATGGGCAATGTAACCATTAAATTGTCAGCTCGAATTATTCCAACCGAATTCTCTTATGAACATATCAACAAAGAAATTTCTCGAGATGGAAACATTAAATCAGCACCAAAAGTTTTGCAAATTCGCGGATTGAAGGACGAAAATGATCATGAAGGAGTTTTACTCGGAAATTATGTTTATCTCGACAATGATAATCCTCTTCAACACTTTGAAGTTCAAGTCAACAAAGGTCGTCCATTCAATTACATCACCTTTATAATCCTTAATAATCATGGTCATCCAGATTATACCTGCCTGTACCGGTTCCGTGTTCATGGACGCAAAGTATAATATCATGATATGAAAAAAAGCACCTATGCAATCACGATTTTTTTTCTTCAAGAAGTGCTCAAAATTAACTTGAAAGAAATTCTAATTTCTTAGATATCATCATGTTCAATGAAGCTCTCTTTTTCATACGCACTTATCTCACCCTTTTGAGGCACTGTCATATATTTTCAAAATTTATTACTATTATTATTATTATTAAATGTTTATACGAAAACTATTTTCTAACCAGAATAACAGTCACCAAAACAATAATGTAAAAAACCTCTATTTCTTATCAAATTTATTTCTATTGTTTAATTCATCAGCAGACTATCATCAAAAACATCTGATATTAATTGGCATCCTGGTTTGTCAGAAAAATTGATAAAAACGTTTTATTTCTGGATTGAAACGGGAACAAATTTGTTATCAAACCTCGAACGTGTCTCACAAATTGTTGAAATCAACTCTTAATATGATTCAATCCAATCGCAAATTTCGAGATTATTTATATTTATAATAAATACAACAATAAATACTTATTTGCACAGCTTTTTTATTAACAATCGGTCATTTGAAACAACTAATGATTGGTGAAATTAATGACCAAGAAAATTAAAGAAAATAAAGGATTCGCAATTTTTTTATATGAATAACTTGAAGTTGCTCTTTTCGCTTAGGTTAACAAAAGATAAAGCACTTAACTCATTGGTTATCAATCATTCATTAATGTTTGTTCTCGACCCAAGTGAAATGAAATAAAAATTAGTGATACAAGGAATTAATCAGACAGTTAATGAATGATTAAAATTCCTAAAATGTATGCTTGAAATGGTTTAACATTGCATAAATGTACATTTAATCAGGGAAATCTTTGCAAGGAAAAATATTTGAAGGCAAAAAGAAGTCAATTTGATCGGATAAAAAAATCATATACGTGTATGGAAGGTTACTTGAATTGTTTTGGTTGTTTCACATTTTCAACTATTATAACATAATTAAGATTAAACTTCGAATGTTGACTTTTAAGATGAATGATTAAAAAATATGAATATATAAATCAATAGAAGTTAAACATTGAAACCCGATGAAATCGAACAAAGATCTCACTGATGTGTACACGTATAATATATACATGTAGTATATAAATCTTAATCTGATTTTTTTATCGTTTAAGAAACATAACACATGATCAGAAGTCAGGGAAAAGAAAATAGGAAATGGATCGATCGGGCAATACAAAGAAATAATAATAATGAATGGACGATCATTGGTTCAATCATTCAATAGGAACTTCAAACAGTTCGGAGACTTTTTTAATGGTTTCTTCAGGACTAGTTACCTTAAAACCTATTGTTCGCCTGTCCATAAATATTTCATGATCATTTCCACCTTCATCTGTTTTGTCTCCAAAAAAATAAATCTTGTCAAACGATTTGGCTGGTAGGAAACGAAGACAATAGGTTTTATCCCAGCCAACTGGGTAAGCGTCAATAGATATTTGTCCACCAATTGCAAATGAAAGACCAAAGTCTCCAGAGAACTCGGACCTTAGGGCTTCAATAAAAGTTTCCCGGATTTTATGGATCTGATCATATTCTGCAAATTCCTCTCTTTCTGCTTGAGAGCAACTACGACCAACAGGACAGATATTAATTAAACCATTACGAAATTCAATAAATGTACCTCGTTTTTTGGGTAATTTAAGGTCGCTCATGTATTTCAAGGCAAAGTTGATGAACATTTGCAATTTTAGCTCTCCGAGTAAACTGATTATACTTTCTGTGTGAATTAGTTTACCATCTTTGTAGGCCACCAAACCATTTTCAGCGAAAAAATAGTCATACTTGGCAATAACATCTTCGCTTTTATTTGTTCCAGACTTGTATCCCAATTGTTCTGTTGAGAGACAATATAGTAAGAAGGAGAATAAAAATGTAAACAGAGAGTAACATCATGGTACTTTGAAATTTTTAGAAATATCAAACATTAATTTAGTTAGTTTACCTAAAATCTTGCCTAAATCTGATCCTCCAACAAGGCCAACCGCAACTTTAGTCCGAAGTCTCTGCAGAAAAGCATCAACTTTAGGATCAATAGGTAATCTTGGCGGTGTAATTGTTCCGTCAACATCGAATAAACACACGATTCGTTCATTTTTAGTCATTTGGTGAATCCTTGGAAGGTTCCTCGAAGGAAAAGGAACGTAACAATCACAGAAAAATAAAAAGAAAAGATCACAATCAAATCAAAAAACAATTAACAGCTTGAGAGCTTAAAGAGATTAAAATTTCATGTGTACAAGTTTCTGAATCTTCAGTATCTAACATAGCGCCATCTTGCGTAAACTACAATTTTTTCCATGTTTACCGAATTGAGCCGCATATTGACTTCTTATGGGTTCAAGTTATTTTAGTTTGTTATCTAGACTTTTCAATTTAAAACCACCATGGACAAATTATTCACCTCTAGCTTCATATTTATCTATACCAACACGATGCCATTCTGGTCAAAAAGAATCGTAAGTTTTTCTTTCTCTTCTCTCAATTTCTTCTGTACAAATCGTAACAGCTGATCCTATTGCTTATCTTTTAACTCTATTTGACCTTTTTTTCATTGATATTCTCAAAATTTCATAGGGTTCATGTTACTTATATAACCAAAGAAGGAGAAAAGATTGTCGTCGAGGGAAAAGTTGGTGACAATGTAATGTATTTAGCCCATTCAAATGGTATCCCTATCGAAGGAGCATGTGAAGCTTCATTAGCATGTTGTACTTGTCATGTTTATGTTAATGCCGATTATTTTGATAAATTACCCACTCCAGATGAAAGGTAAGCCATTTATTGATTAACAATACCTCTAATTTCACCTATTGATTGGTTTCTTGATTTTCTTTATGGTTAGGGAAGAAGATATGTTGGATATGGCACCTTTTTTGAAACCCAATTCTCGCCTCAGCTGCCAAATCCTGTTAACGAATGAATTGGATGGCATTGAAGTGAAGCTACCTCCAGCTACCAGAAACTTTTATGTAGATGGTAAAAAACCAACTCCACACTAGTTGAAGAATCACCGGGAAAACGTTAAATTAGTTGAATTTATCATTATGCCTTAAAAACTTGTTATACCAGTGAGTTAATTTTATACAAGTGGTTACACCGCCAAAGAAAGTCACCATGGATTGTGCGATAATCATTTCTTATTTCTATTAAACCATGTTACAAACTGTGTTCCCAAGTACTACACTCCAAGTGTCCTGTTTCATATTCCTAAACCATTAGTCAAAATTTAACATTCTTCGAGCTGATACGCCGATATGCATGTTAATTAAACGATTTTCGATGGGATCATCGTGAAACTATCAATAGTCTACTGTATTGTTGTAAACAACATCATGTAAAATATTAATGTTCAAAGTTAACAATGAATTAGCTAAAGAGCTAAACAAGAAAGCTTTCAAAAAGCAGTAAATCACAACCCAAGCCATAAAATTGACAAAAAATCTGAAGTACAAAATTTATTGGGCCAAGCTTGACTGAAACATAAATTTATTTGGTTAAGCTCATTTTCCTCTTCATATTTTGTTTAAGATGAAAGACAAAGGATAAAGGATGCAAAAGTGGTTTACCTGTTACCCAAACGGAGCTGCAAAATTGAGGATAATGATAGTATAAATAGGATGCAACAGTGAAAATAAAAGATCTTAAATGATGAGAGTTTCGTGATTCATAAGTATTGGTAACAATAAAAAATGAAAGAAACAAAAAGTCGGATCATTTAACCGATATAATATTTGAAGATGTAAACTTTAAACGATGAAGATAATGTTGATCTGACAATGATAACTATTATACATTTACTTTAAGCAGCTCAACCACACACAAAACATCAAGAAACTCAAAAATCTATTATCAACTGGAACGATGATGATGATGATGATAGTGGAAGAGTTATCATTTTTCCTCTTCAAATAACATCTTTACCTTAAGAAATTGAAAAGACAAAAAGTAATTTTTTTTCCTTTCAAAAATATGAAAAGGTAAATGGCAATACAAAAAGTAACAACTCAAAAATTCAAGCTAAGGAACCAAAGATTTCAAAATTTCACCCAATCAGCCATTTTTCAAGCAAGTCAACAGGATAACCATAAAATACCTTTGGATAATAAATTTATGAAGCAATAAGATGTCAATGGAAATGGCTATGGTTAAAAGTGCTGCTATTCAATTGACATGAGTAGTTTAAATAAGGAGAGGAACCATTGAAAAAAATTTAGCTTAATAGTCTATCAAGGGAATCATTTATTCAGCATTTATCATCATTTTTAAAGAAATTATCTCGAACCTGAATCAGATGGAAACCTTTGAAAAAAAATTTCCAAAATGTTCATTAAGATCAAATCAACTTTCATCAAATTTATCAAACACAAACTTATTACCAATAACGTGGTTTCAAGTCAACCAACAAGACTTAAATAACGATGAATAAATGGAGGAACCATTAAAATGTTTCAATTAGAGAAGCAAATTGTTCATCAAAACCAAATCAACTTTAATCATAAATAATAACAAATCAATGCGACTGTTTAAGTTAATTTCATCTCAATAGCGCGAAACGAGTCTTCAAGTCTATCAAGATATTTGGGTTACCCTTTGAGCTTGTAAATCTGGTAAAGTTGACTTTGCATTAAAAATTGAAAAATGAAAAATTTTCGTTTCTTTTCCAACAGTTGATTCAAATTTTCAACTGAAGGTAGTTAAAGATTTAAGAATCAAGAAGAATCAGTCTTTAAACCCAATTCATTAGCACAATAATAAACGTCAATATAAAACTAGTGAACACACAATGAGATGATTAAAAAACTCTGAAAACAAAAGACAGTAAACATTAGAGGGAATGTTAGACGATTGAACATTGAATTGAGCATCTTTAAGCCTCAAAGTAACCATCAATTGTTAATATCTTGGTAATATATCCGTATATCTGTATAATAAAAATTATTAATTCAGTAATAATGATATAATAATGTTGAATGAAACAAACTGGAAGCAACTAATAATGCTAACAATTCTAATAATGGTTTAACACGATTAACACAATCTGACAGATACATTAACTAAATAATACCCAAGCAAACAAGTTAATACATAAATATATCTGTTAAGAGAGAAGTGAATGAAAACAAAACAAATCTGAAGAGAAGTGAACGGAAGAGAGAAACAAAGAAAAAGAGAGAGAGAAGATGAAGAAGAAACAAAATGAAGATGATGATATAAACGCAATAATAATAATCATAATACATAATAATAATAGTGAAAAAAAGAGCTCACCAAAAGCCTATAGGAAGTGTTATTTTTTTGCATAGACTGGGATTGAAGAGAGACTGGGAATGATAGCATGTTAAGCTTTTAACTTTTACCTTTACTGTGTAACATGGTTAGGTTATAAACTGCGCCGAGTCAACATTTGAAACTGAAAGGAATCACTTTTTTTTTATATTATATATACAGAAGATGCAAACCTATCTTCACCCATACAATGTTTTATAACAGAATCATCATCATTCTCATCATCATCATCAACACCACCACCGTCAACAACAACAGTTAAAAGATTGCTTGAAAAACCATAGTTTGAAAGGTAACAAACCTATTAACTAGGAAAATTGAAAAAAGTCTTTTTTTAGTTCAACTTTTGTTCGATCATTTTTTTTCAGTCAATTTGACTCTCATCGAGTCTCACCTCAACCTACAGCTCAACACTTTAGGTTGACTGTGAGTCTTGTCCAAGGGTCTTGTTACGTACTTTTGTTAAACTTTTTTCTTCTTCTTTTGATTCTTCCTTTCAACTTTAATCTTTTTTTCCTTAATCATAATTCAATTTTTTCGGCTTTTTTCATCAAGTTTAGGTCAAGTTTGTGGTCAGTTGTGACTTTTTGTGACTTGTCGACTTTTGTTTTTACTCAAAAAAACTTTCAATTTTGTGAATCTCGGCTTGTTCATTGTGACTCAAATGTGGTTAAAATTGTTTTTTTACTCTTCTTGATTCTAACCAAATGGATAAAGTCATCAACTCTTTACCATTAACCCTGATTAAATATGTTTGTTATCTGAATTTCCATCAATTTCATCATAACCAACCTCATCACTATCATCATCATCATGGTTAAATCATTTTATTATTCATCAAGAGGAGCTTTTTATCTTCTAGGTAATTAAACAATCTTTTTTTACTACTTTTTCGGTGAATGACAAAAAAAACTGTATTCAACTTTTTATCCTATTCAACCTCAACTTATGAATTACTAATTTCAAGTGAAACAAGTTTTCAATTTCAAATGTTATCCAACCATTTTCGGCTCAATTATTCAGGTTAAAGTTATTGAATATCATTTGAATCAACCAACGAAAAGAAAGCATAAAAAAGGGAAAAAATTCAAATGTAATGTCAGATAAGTTTATTTTAATATGAATTGGTAAAGTAAAATGTCAACAAAAAAGATATTCAATTCAATTCATAAATTCATATTTTACAACCTTTTCTGCCTCTCGATTCATCAGAATTGGTAATTTCAAGTATTACAACAGCAATCATATTTCAATAATTTCCAGTTTATTCACAAGATTCATGAAAAAAATTTCCGTTTAGAACAAAAAACGAAATGCAAAAAGAAATGTTTAAACTTAGAAAAAGATTTTCAGAAAAAAAAACTTTTCTCAGTGTTGATGAAACTTGATTTAAATGCAAAGTCAACAATTACGGATAACAACCTGTTTGTAGGTTGAAAACACTTCCATAATAACATACATTAAATTACCATCAATCAAGTGTAAACAAGAGTTGGTGTCATTAGTCAACCTGATAACCTAAGACAAAGTATCAAAAACTAATCAAGGTAAACACACCAAAGTGACTTTGACATGAAGCAAAACAAAAGCTTTAAGTTACAAGTTGAGCAAGTTTAACAATCAGGTTAACCCAAACCCTAAGTGAGTACCAGACAGCAAGGCAATGATAATGTGCTTTAGGTTGGGTGAGTGTGAAAAAAAAGTGTTCACAAGTTATGAACAGCTAAGGAAGAAGAAGAAGGAAAAAAAATTCTGAAGAAAACAAATTCAGGGAAAAATGGAGACAAAAAAGTGTTGGACCATCGATTGTGTTGAAAGAGTGCAAAAAATGGAGTCTAGTTTGGGAAAGATGAAGATGCCTTTTTGAGCATAATTGGTGGTACAAAAGGTTGACTGGGAAAAGGCAAGAAAGTGGGAGAAAGAATTTTAAGACGCCAAGCTGAAATGCTAGATAAATCATGTCATGAATTTTGGCTTTTCTTTTCTTCCGTCTGACATGAACAGACTTTATTGCCACCTAGGGTTTCATTGATGGCAAGTTGATGTTGATAATGATGGAAGGGAGGAGAAGGAAGAAAGAAAACGCAAAAATGGAAGAAGAAAAAGTTCATTCAAGTGATTTTTAGAATTGGTTTATCATTAAAATCAGCAAATCATTGACACCATCTTTCATCTTGTTTCTAGATGATTGATTCTCATCATTTTGATGACCAATCCTCATCATTACCTTAATCTAATTGTTCCCTGTTACCTGACAAAACTTTCAACATTTCAATTTTCAATTCAATTATCAAAGTAAAGATCAAAACAATTGAATCAAAGTTGAACATGAAATTTACTCCAAACTTAACTCCATCTTTTTCACTCCCAGAGAAACTCCAAGGATTTTCCAATCTTGAATCGAAAACTGATTCTTCATAATTTTCCACGTTTAATCGTATTTTTGTTGACTCTATGAAACTCGTCGATGTTGATCATTAAACTAACGATAAAAAAAGAGTTTGATGATAAAGAATCCGCCAGAAGCTTTGACTGAAAAGATTAAACCAAAATCTCAGCTAATGATTCAGATGCTTCCATACATAAACTGGATAAAAACGATTGAATTTGTAAGCATCTGATGAAACAATATTATGATCGAAATCAATATTAAACTTTATTCCGCCAATTCAACTGACCATCAAATCTTTCAAACTCCAAACTGGAAAAGTTGATTCATGATTATCTTGAAATTCATTTACTTTTCATGTTTATCTTTGTCTTTTCCATTCATGTCAAAACCATATGATTAACTTGAAAAAAGGCAAAGATTTGTGTGTTTTCAGTTCCTCCCAAAAGTGTTATCTAATATCATAAACTCGCATTAAAAACTCTGGGAGTGAAAGTATTCATCACTCCCAGTTGATTACCTTGTCAAGTGACTTGCTTCTTGGTGCATCTTTAACAGCCCACTATTTACACTCATTTAAAATAATTATTCTCATTATTTGATTAACATTGTACAACATTTGATTAAGACTGGAAAACACTATTAAAAAGTGGCTTTAATTGAGTGACAAAAACTGATCAGCTTTTAAGGAACACATGAAATATGTTTTACAGAAACTAGATTTTTATCCATTCTTTTTACTTTTACCTTACGGGCTACTTAGCTTTCGCTTTTTTAGCACACAAATCATTATTGAAAACAATTTAATTTCATCTTAATTCAATTTAATGATGTGTTTAGACAAAATGAGCAACATTCAATTCCTTGAAGGCAAAAGGGTTGCAATTAAAAACTAGGATAAAGTAGCTTTTAAGACGAAACGAAGGTTGGAACTAGTTATTGATTTGTATTTAATAAACTTGCATTTCTGCTTTGAGCAAACATTTTCCTTTCATGGTTCAGTTCAAAGCATTTAAATAAGAAATGAACATTTTAATTATTTTGGTGAAAATTTTCTTCTTCCCAATTCTGCAGACAATAAGTTCGAGTCATTACCTGAAAAGGGTTGAACTTGTTCAATTGTTTTTCCTCACATTTCCAATCAATCCCTTTTGGTTTGGCTTATTTTATTCATTTCGATCTCGCGAATCATTTGTAAATCATTATCATGAAATCATTCTCAACCTGATCCACCTACGATTCCATTTTTATCCGATTTTGTGACAATATATTTGAATATCGAATAGGTAAGTTGAAGGAATGGATGAAGTATAATAACTATTGAAATGCAGTCGATTTACATAAAGAAAAGTTTCAAAAGATTTACTATTATTTCAAGATTATACCATTTAATTGTCACTTAGGAGTAACAATTTTCTGCTATTTTTCATGGCTCATGAGGCAACTCTGTTATTTAACTTGATTTATGCCATTTGATTCGGAAACTTTTTTTAGTCAAAATTGAATATTTTCTGCAAAGAAATCAGAACTAAAACTCGATTCGAAAAGATCTTAAATAAAATGAAATTGTTTTGATATTCAATTAGTCTTTGCTCTGAATGAACACTTTTCAAGAATCTCGAAGAATATTTTCTCATCGAACTCTGACTGAAAAAAGGGAAGAAGATGAAAGAAATTTAAATTAAGAACTTTGCATAGATAATTGTTCTGTCTGAATCGAAAGAATGAGAATTTTCGAGTTTTGATTTGAATAACTTGTTATTGCATCGATACTTTAAGTGTAAGTTGATGGACAAATAGTCGATCTACAAATTTTTCATTTCGATCTTAAACGTTGCATTCGATTTTCTCTACTCAATTATTGATAGAAGAGTGAAGACGAAGAAGAAGTTTTCTTGAAACTTATCAATTTATATCTTCTTATCAATAGAAATGATTCAAAATGTAACTCATGATTGAATAAATGAACAGAATCTTTTTAAAAGTTTTTACATTCAAAATTGAATTGCAGGTAAAAAGTGTTTAAGTTGAAATAAAAATTTACAAATCTTTTTCACTCTCAGCTACAGTCAAAGAGCAAGAAAAGAAATGATGAGATTAATCTAATCCTCATGAAATGTTGATTTATCAGTTGAATACACGCCATGATTCAAGTAAATGTTTACACAAAAGGCGTAAAGAAAAGGTTTCAACGCAAAAGTGGTTCAAAGATGCAACTTGTCAGAGTACAAAAAAAGTAAATCAATTAGCAAGTTTGGTTGAAAAAATTTGTGCCAACAATTTGGATCTAATGATGCCAGTTGAGACAATTTTTGTCGAGAAAATGCGCTTTTCTCTAATGCAGAGCAACACCAAATTGTGTCTCTTTTAGTTGTTGTTGTGGTTTAACCTTAAGGCTAAAACCACAGACCTTTTCATGTCTATTTTACAGCAACATGATACAGTAAAGTGAAAGGTTTCATTTTGTCTGTTATTATTTTATATTTGAAAGCAATTTTGAAAGCAGTAAAAAATGAAAGCCATGAGAAGATTGCGAGGAAAAAAGCATTTTTACCAAATAAGCTGGCAATTTAATTTACTGATAAAAGCTGATCCAACTTTGACTGACCCAAAGTGACCGAAGTTGCTGCCTTTTTTTAAGAATCGACCATTTCCTGTGCAAACAATCAATTCAATCAATTCTGATTTCCTTTTCCCGAATCTTAAAACATTTCAAACAGAATGGCTGAAGAAGAAGCACACAAGATGAAAGAGCAAACCCAAAACAAACTCAACTTTTCCCATCTCAAGGGTAATCAGACTGAACTTGAGGAAGAAAAAAAGACTTTGCGAAAAAAGAAAAAAAAGGAAAACAAGAAATCTCCAAATTTGTTTTTTACCTTTATAATGTTACATGGTGTTGATTAAAGGACACGAAAGCCCAAGTGATGAGTTTACGAAAAAGCCGTTCATTATCAATTCCAAAAGGTTAACAGTTCCGTTTTCAATTGAATATCTTGGATGTTAATCTTGACGAAAACTTGGAAATCCTTTTAGATTAGAGGCTTTTCTTACAACCTTGCTGTCTAACCTCATGAGATGGAATTACATTTCTCATAATTATTGTCTTTATAATGAAATTGGAACCATTTAAAGCAAGGTTAACCAGACTGATGAGTTAATCAAGAGTTTAATATCGATTGAAATGTTTACCAAAAATCATTATTGAACATCTTTTTCCCATTCTTTCCCAAACGATACAAAAGAGTTTTAAAAGTGTAAAAAAATGTTTTTTCCCTCCTCCTAACATGATATCAATAACCGCCAACAATGTGTATCAAGAAGTAAATTCATTGAAGATAACATGTTTCCTTATGCCCTTCAATAGCCTGGAGATATTTGCTGGTGAATCAATGGAATAGTCATGAAGGTAAAAGGGACAGAAAGTGGGTGCAAAAGAGAAACAAAAATTTTTGCCTTTTCAATAGTTCGCTTTGTTTGAGCAACATAATGGCAATTAGCTAATGTCAGTCTCAGCGTGAGTTTAAGAGTTAATTAATTCAACTTTTTTTTCGTCACTTGTTTGAAACATTGTCGATTCAATTAGAAATTAATAGCATGAATGAAGAGACAAAAAATTTTATTCTCATTGATGCTAAATTGAAGAGCAATTGAGATCGAAGACTGGGAGTGAATGTTTACAGTAAATGATATTGGATTGAGATAACACTTTAACTTGTCATATTTCCATGAGATATAATGTTACCCAAGCAACTCGAGACTAAACCAGTTAATGATCAGTTTTTTGATGAACAGTAAGTTTGATTCATTGGTTAACATGGTTAAGTAGGGAAACTGTTTTTTGTTTATTCACAGATTCTCTGGTTACAGTAGCTTCAGCATGTTGCTCATGCAAAGACACCTTGGGATCAATCAATCATGTCAATTGTTTACTAATGGTAACGAGCATAAAGTTAACCCAAGTCAACCCTTGACTTTGGTTGAGATTAATGCAAAAATGTTTTTAATTGCATTCGTAATTGTCTTTTGATTTCAATCTTCATAACTAGAAAGGTTAGTTTAAAGCTTAAATTGTGTTCGGATAACGAAGTTGAAGACTAAGTCAACTTTCATTATAAAGAAATAACATTTGAATCGAGTCTTTAATGTCGCTGTCAAGTCTGATTGCTATCGTCAAATTTCAAGCTCCAGATTCTGAGAACTGTTCAAGAATATCGATTGATCTTCTTTAGCCAAAGTGAAAATCAATTAGTAAATTGGTCGATTTAGATTTTCTCTCATTATAATCATTTGATTTAAAATGTGAAATGTTAATTTATTTCGTTTTTTCCTTTTTCTTTCTCTGTGATTCTTTTTCTGGTTCAGATTTGCTACTTTTTTTGGAAGCCAATTTATGCTCAAGTATACGTATTTCAATGTTGGATGTACCCTCACCAACCATTCTTGGTGAAGCTGTTGAACTTACCTGTAGTTATGAATTGGAACCTGACCTTAAACTTTACTCGGTTAAATGGTATAAAGATGGTGTTGAATTTTATCGTTATGTTCCAAATGATTATCCTGCAGCTCAAACTTTACCCATTGAAGGAATCAAAGTTGAAGTAAGTTGCTTAACCTTTTCCCATCTAATTTATTGCTAGTTTGCCTGTTCGGTTCACACAGAGTTTGGATTCCAATAAAAGAGGTAACATTAAACTGATTGATATTGTTGCTAATAATGGTGATGATGAAGACAAGGATGAAGAGAAGAGAAGGAAAGAGAAGAAGAAAAAGTGTCACAAGAATAATAGACTTGCAAAGGAAGAGTTATATTGTTAACCATATCATGTCTTGCTAAGCTCGTCTTCAAGTATCATCTCGATCAAGATGAAGAGAGGAAAAATTAATCCTCAATAACAATGACATTACCTGAAGCAGTGTGAGTCGATAACAACAAGTTGATGAATGACCATTCAGTTGAAACAACATGAGATATTCAGAGAAAAATTTCAATTCTTCAAAAGTTTTCAGTCGATGAATGAACATTTAGACTCTGGTTTAGCAAAGAATTGTTTTGACTGAATTTTGGTTAAAAACTAATTTCATTTAAGCTTCATCACTCACATTTTCCTCATCATGTGCGATCTCATGATAGATGAATCTTGATTGTTGGCTTATCCATGGATTCGCATGAATTGAAAATTTGAGAATAACTTTGAGAAGGAAAAAAAAGTTAAATTGATGGACTAATCATTTTTGGGGTTAAATCTTCATCATGATCTAGCATTTGAAGTTACTTGTTCAGTTGTGTGACAATTGAAACCTCAATTGAACTTGGAGTGAACTGGGAGTAAGTTGTGATTAATTTCATGCTTGGATGATCAACTAAATCTCGTCACTCATAATAATAGGATTGATAGTGAAAAGGGAAAGTAAAAGGTTGTCTTATTATGTTGTTATTGTTATAATTTTTTGTGTTGCCAGTTGATTCAGGTTTCGTCTTTTTTTATCGTGAAGACCATTCCAAATAGGATTTGAGAAGAAGAGAGAAGAAGATTGTTTTGGATGAGAAAATGAAATGAATTGAAGCACAATTTGCGGTCAACCAGGGATTCAACAAACTGAATACAGCAACAGGAAAAAGATGAAAAAGTGAGAAAAGAAATTGATGAAAGAGGAAGAAAAACTTGAAATGGTCAACTTGATAGAGATAATGATGAGGATAATGGTGGTGATGATGATGAAAAGAATGGATGTAAAATGAAATTACAATGAGAAAAAAAGATAAATTTCATTTTACTTTTCACTTCGTTTACATTGACAATGTTTACGTGAAAATCAATTATAAACTATAAGCTCATTGAAAGTATTGAGACAAGTTTTCAACATTGTAAAGTGTTGACCTTATCACTACTGATTGATTGAACAGCAAAAAGTGTCGATATTTCAAATTTATTTTCGATTTTTTCTCTTTTCAGCTTGCGCGGTCAACTGCTAAAACAGTCTATCTTAGTCGTCTTAACCTCGACTCGGAAGGAAAATACAAATGTGAAGTTTCAGCCGAAGCACCTGAGTTTAAAACAGCAGAGATGGAGAAGGACATGGAAGTCTATGGTAAGTTCAAAAGACTCATCGTTTTCATATCAATATTTTGTGTGAAAGCTACAAGAAAAACCTTCCACATTCAAAACTGTTATTCAAAAACTTTCATATTCCAAAAATCAGCAAATCACTGAAAATTCGCCGAAACAAAAGTCAATTCTAAACAAAAAAATAGAGAAATCGCTAAACTTCTGAATCCAATCCTTGATGACTAAATGTTCAAATCGGTATTCATTAGCTATTACAAATAAACAGGTTAAGCTGATTTTTATAAATTAAACCAGAGATTGGTTTAGGTTAGAACCTGAAGGTGAAAAATGGGTAAAATTGAAAGTTACATTGAAAAATGGGTTTAACCAGAAATGCTTTCTTTCCAATATTCTGTTCTGAATGATCTTAAATGTGAATTAGAAATTTCACATGAAATTGTTTTTAAATATGAAGATTGAAAGTCCAACAACCACAGTCAATTATTAGCATCTAAATTGCCGGATAAATTGTGAGATTTCTGTTTGCTCGGAATAAATTACAAGAAATTTTGTTTGAGCTAATTTCATTGAAATATCAATAATGAGATAATTTTGTGAAGGTGTGAAAGAGACGATATTGCGGTTGTTGAATGAAGGCGTGAATGAAACAGAATGAAAAGACAGCTTTTAATTAACTTATAATTAACTTGGAAAATAGCTAATTTGATCAAATGTTAACAGAAGAGTTCAACTTTGTTTTAGGATAAACAGACAATCTTGAAAGGGAATTGGGTTAAACATCATTTTGGTCAACCCAAAAGTACTTCTTTAACCAAATACACACTTTTGGTTATTTGCAACATTTTTTACTCTTCACTGTTTACCTAATTATAACTTGCTATTTATTCAATGAAAATTGCATGATGTTTCCATCATCTTGTATCAAAGCGTCAACTCGACTCATCATCATTATTCTGGTTCAACTGAAGCAGGAAAAAAAGTTTATCCCAAATGATGAGAAAAAAAAGGTCAACCTGTGAAAAGTCCCTCATGAAATTTCACTTTTTTGGGCAACATTTGAAAATCCATTTCATGATATTAGTCATGAAAATGGTCAGAATAAATAATTTTTTGCACATTTTATGCTCGAAAAGACTTTTCAAATTTGAACGGTCAGAAGAAAAGAAAAGTTTAGAAAAAAAAGTTCTT